TTATTTGTATTGGTCTGAGACTAACGGACTAATGTTAGTGTCGAACCCTGATTGATCAATATATGGAAGCAAATCAAAAGTCAGGGAATTAAACATTAGAATGGTCACTACTTTGGAAAGGGATCTATCATTTAACAGGTTAATTGGGACAAATTGCCCAAATGGGATATCATAGTCCATTTAGGACATATTCTTAGCTATAAATATTGTAAATCCACATCAAAAAAGCAACAACTTTTGGATAACTGATATATCAGTGAAAAAAAATGTAATTATATGTGTACAACTTTAAAGAAAAAATATCAGTTATGGGAACAAATAATTTATTCTGGGTAAGGTCAGGGTGGGTGAATTTTATGTGTGTGTGTTGTTTTTTTTTAAATTTATTTATTTTCTGCATAAGTTAGAAAAGGGGGGAGGGGGGTTAATTAAAATATTTATTATTTTATTTTATACATGTGAGGAACAATATAGTTTTTTTTACCTTTTGATCAGTGTTTCTATCAGTATATATTTTAGCTTTCATTGTAAGTAACTCTGAACTATGAAGACTTTTATACACATGGGAACTGCAAAAATGTAGGTCATTTTGCAAACCCTAGTCTAGGTCAAGGTTACTGTAAGAAGAGGTCAATTTTCTGGACAACTGAATTTAATGTGAAGTGAATTGAGTATGACAATTATCTTTCGTTTATATGTGCTGGAACTCATTATTTCATTCATTATAACCTACCCTATACCACTCACAAAAAATAATGGCTTACATTTTTATGCCCCACAGTGAATATGGCCGGGGCAAATAGTGTTTGTCATGTCCGTCTTCCTTCTGTCCTTCCGTCACACTTTGCGTTTAGCTTTGTTCAAAGCTCAGTTTCAAAGAAACTATCCAAGATATTTTTATCAAACTTCATATGCTGATAGATATTGTCTAACAGTTTTGTCACATTTCTATTGTTATTCATATGCACACCAGTTTTCAACGACATTGTTTATATCGAGCCGCAACTTGTCCATTGGTCTCATTTGCACAGAATGTGTATTTTAATTTAAACTTCAACATATCCAAAGGACAATGTTGGACAAATTGCGGCTCATATCTAATTTTTTGAAAAAGTCTCCAAACTACGGTCGAATTAGCCACTAAATTAACAGTTCACCGAGTGTCAACGATTGATATTATAATCACTTTACTCACGTGACATTCCACTGATCAATACGCTAAGGCTTTCATTGAACATTTCATTGTGTTTGTCATTGAAAGTTTCTATTGTGACAGTATCTATTGTACTTCCAACTTCAAACTATGGAAGATTTTTGCGCAAATTTTAATAGGGTTTGAAGATTATATGTCTCTTATTTTACTTTGTATTTTTCATTAGGGGTGTTTTGAAAGAATTCTGGTATTGACACTTGATTAGTAAGTACATGTACAGGCTCATGTCGCCTCTGTATAATGGTCTGCAGGGCGAGACATCTTCCCCATCACTAAACACTAGAATCATTTATAATTTGTGCACCATGAAACTACACAATCTCTTCTCTCCTCCATTTAAATTCCTTATTGAGATTTTTGTCATCAATTTTTAATTTAACTTTAATTTTGAAAAAAAATAATTTCCCTCCCTCCCTCCTGGGTCTGAAACCTCCCAGGTGGCAATTCCAAACAATTAATTTTTTAAGGATGGCCTTTTATTAATAAGCATAGAAGAAATATGTATAGACAGAATTGCCTGAAACTAAGGAAAATATTGCTGAAAGTGTTGTTCATTATAACTTTGCTTAATTTAGTCATATTCAAGGTCATGGCTATTACACCCCTAATACCTTAAAACATGATTGTGACGTAAACCTTTTGTTTGTGTTGTCCATTCTTTTAATGTTGAGCTAACTCCTCAAACAATCCATTAAGTTACCTATAAGTGTCCATTCTTTTTGGAAAACTGTCCATTCTTCTAAGAATGGACAGTTAAAACAAACAGAATGGACAGTTAAAACAAACAGAATGGAGAGTTACAGGTAAATTTGGAATGTGTTCAAGAGGGAGACAAAAACAAATACATAAAATACTTTTTAATTCACATGTAAATAACAAAAAGAACGCCGAGATCAAAGTTAATCCAGAACACAATGTCTGCACAGCATCCACTCGATTTTACTCTATTAAATCCATGAATGATGCACATTAATTCAATACCCAAAACTTAATTTTCACAAAACTTGAATTCAAATGACACAATTTCACATTTGATTTAAATTTCGGAAAAATCATCCCCTCGATGAGAATTCATTTTCAGATAGAAGTGCGTCTAATATTAAATTCTCCACCCAGAAAACAGTTTGCACCATGAATACTACACTGCTGCAGTTAATATTTCAGTAGAAAATGAATAAAAATGAAACATTTCCAGATTTGATTTGAAAAATATTTCAGGTCGAAGATTGGCTCGTGGCTAATCCAACACTCAGAACACAATTTGCATCTCACCATTACACTGCTGCAGTTATTATATCCTCAAAAATAGAATTAAAATAAAAAATTTCCAGGTTTAATTTGAATTTGATCATCTGTATCTGTCGTCGAAGTTCATTTTGGGGTCAAAATTTGGCTAATATTTCTTTTACTCTTACTTTTCTGTTTCCAGATCCAAATATCACTAATTTTGTGCATAGTTTGGTTTATAAGGTTTATACTCTCTCCATCACAGGAAAACATGTATGCTTTTACAACGCAAACTGTAAACTGATTTTGAAGCATCGCATACTTGTATAAATACTAGTATCCCACAAAATCCACCTGTAACTGTCCATTCTTAAGATAAAGACCTTTTGTTATTTGCATCAGGAAACACAATGGCTATTCAACAAATTGCTCTGCATCCCTAGCTTACCTTTGACTGTCCATTCCGTAAACAATGAACATGTCATTGTATGTGTGATACCTGTCATTACGGCCCTCGATTAGTTCTTTCTCTCACAGAATGGACAGTTTTCAGCCTTTCTCCTTTACTTAATATAGGAAAACTTGCCAAAAGAACATTGCATTCAATTTTCTCTCTCTCTCTCTCTCTCTCTCTATATATATATATTTATATTTACAATATTTATAGCTAAAATATATTTTTTCATAATTTTGCACTTTAAATTTATGTCTCATTTGGGATATTATAATATCCCTAACAGAGTATTATATCCCAGTGGGAATTGGTCCCATCCTGTTAAATTTGTGCATGATTTTCTGTTGCTTGACAGTTAAGTAATAAAAACAATTTTAGCTAGAGTAGGGTGATGTAACTTCGACCACCTGGATAGTTTTGACTGATCATGAGTTCCTTAAAATGTTATCATCTTTAAATGTTCTTCAACTATTTCATGCAGAAACAATATTCCTTTTTAGCTCACCTCGACAAAGTCGAGATGAGCTTATGCTATACCCCCGGCGTCGGCGTCCCAGTTAAAGTTTTAGGAGCAAGTCCATTCCCAAGTAACTATAAGCCCTACCTGTACCAAACTTGCATGGATGATGCATCTAGGGATTGACACTACCACACTTGCTTCGGATGCTGGATCTGACCTACATTTTCCAGTTGAGTGACCAGGTTAAAGTTTTTGGAGCAGGTCCATTCCCAAGTAACTATAAGCTCTATCTTGACCAAACTTGCATGGATGATGCATCTAGGAATGGACATTACCACACTTGCTTCGGATGCTGGATCTGACCTACATTTTCCAGATGAGTGACCAGGTTTAAGTTTTTGGAGCAGGTCCATTCCCAAGTAACTATAAGTCCTACCTGGACCAAACTTGATACATCTAAGGATGGACACTACCACACTTGCTTTGGATGCTGGATCTGACCTACATTTTCCAGATGAGTGATCAGGTTAAAATTTTTGGAGCAGGTCCATTCCCAAGTAACTATAAGCCCTACCTTGACCAAACTTGCATGGATGATGCATCCAGGGATGTAAGCTAACCAACCTGCTTTGGATGCTGGATTCGACCTAGATTTTCCAGATGAGTGAATTTTTGCCATATTTTAACCAAATTAGCAAGGATGATGTAGCTAGGGATGGTCACTTCCAGACTTGCTTTGGATTCTGAATCTGACGTACATTTTCCAGATGAGTGACCAGGATAAATATTTTTGGAGTAGCTATGTAACATTATGGCCTGTTATGATTAAACTTGCATAGATGGTGCATCTAAGGATGAAAACTTCCAGACTTACTTTGGATGTTGGAACTGACCAAAATTTTCTTGATTAGTAAACAGGATAAACGTTTTTTGAACGTGAAATTTGCCTTACTTAAAGATAACATTCGTCGAGGTGAGCTTCGTAATTTTTGATTACCTATGTTTAAGGTATTGAGTCGATAATAATTTTATTTCCATGAGCATAATTAAGTTGTTTACTGGAACATTAGGATATCCAAAAGGCTTTATCACACGAAAAATTACGAATGAGTGTTTTAGTCTGACACTAGGAGAAATTATCACCTTTGAAAATATCTGTATAGAAAGTTAATCAATGGATATCCGTGGCGTGACATTTATCAAATTTGGTTTTGCAGCTGAAATTCATGCCTTTTTAATTTAAAATTTTCAGTTAAAGTTTTACAAAATTAAAATGGATATAAATGGAACAGATATTGGTCGAAATTATCCCTACATGACTACTGCATCAGTGGGTAACTTCAACCATGAAAATTGAATGTTCCAATATAATCTGCAGCAATAAGACTTTTACCAGAAAGAAATTATGAGAGTATAGAAAAAATTAGGTTAAGTATTATGTACTTTTATACTCATTAGAAACTAGTTCTACAACAGGGTAAATGCATCTGTTTGGATTATATAGGGTTTAGATGCCTGTGTGTGCATGTACATTTGTTGCTCAGTAAATCACACACAAATTTATATGAATTTATATGTATTGTAAATGCATTTTAGCGAGAAAGTTTGTCACCAATCTCTTTTTCAGTACATATTGCAGGAAATCCTCCTGGAATCAAAGGAATCAAGCCTGGCCCAACAATGTATGAAACTTTTTTGGCAGGTGTTGCTTCCAGACTTCCAGAATCGGAAAACATTGATGTAAATATATCAGTTTTCTACCTTGTTTTCTTGGAATTGTACACTGATTAAGGCATTTAACAAAGCATAATGGTACACAGTTTTTTTGTTGTTGATATATATAGGAGTTCTGGGAGAACTTAATTCTGGGAAAAGATTTGATAAGAGGTACAAGATGGCCACGAGAACTTCATGGCACACCTCCAAGAGTGGGATTGATAAAGAATATTGACAAGTTTGATGCAGAATATTTCAATTTTGAGGAAAATGAGGTAAATACTATCAAGATAGCTTCATTGAAATTTTTCTTTGTTTGCCCTCAGCAGTTTACAGTTACGACTTGTACATGGGTAGTTGCCACTGATTTAAAATCATGATTGATAAAAAAAAAGTTTGCAGTTTGGTAGATTTAACAAATATTTTCACGTACTTGCATCGAAAGTTGTGGTTATATTCAAACAAGATGGGAAAAAGGGGGGGGGGGGGATGATAGTGTTTATAAATCTTTTAGTTCTTGAAAGCATACCAGTATGCATAAATTTCATTGAGAGGGTACTTAAAGTCTGCCTGTTTCTCAGTCTGATTCATTTCAGTGAGTGAAAAAATGTACGCAAGAATTGCACCAATATAGCAGTAAGAACAGTTAGGAAATTCTTGCTCTTTAAATCAAACTTAGCATCATAAGTGCAATCTTGGTGGGACATGTTCATGGAGAGTTTACCCTGTTAACCTGACCTGATAGTGTTAACTTGTATATACACAAGAAACTATTTAATAAAGGGATATGATCCTTAACTTTTCATATACATGTATTTTGAATGAGGAAAAACACTTCACACACAAACAAATAAATATTTTTTTCTTCTCATTAATGAAAGTTGTGGTAATTCTAGATTTTTACGTACGTAGGAATATATTGGGAAAAATCTTTAGAAATCTTCCTTTCAGAAACAGGACTACAATGTGTCAAATTAATACAATGAATGTAACTGTAGAAAAAAATTAAGAAACCCTCCTTTAAAAGAAGTGAAAAAGCAAATATATTTAGCTTTGATTTGAATATTCATTAAAATAATCTGAATTCTGAAAAAAGAATATATATATATTTTTTTAATAAGAAGACTGATTTGTACACTTGATATGAAGCATCAACATTCAAGATTTGAAAAAAAACCCAGGGCTTTCTAGTTGAAGGCCAAAGTACCATGGTAAAAGGTTTCATTCATCTCTACCCATTCATTTTTCAGGGAAATGTGCTTCAGGTGAGCATTGTGGCCCATAGTTCTCTTTCTTAGCTGACTGGTCTTGTTGCTATGCTCTATTCATAGGTTCATCACATGAATCCCATGTTGCGACACCTTTATGAAGTCTGTTCTGAATGTGTGGTGGATTCTGGCCTTAGTCTGTCGGTGCTACAGAATAACACCACAGGAATTTATCTAGCCTGCTTTCTCCCTGACAGTGATGCTCTGGAAACATCGAGAGAAGCCATCTCAAAATTATGTAAGCAATATTATCTCTTAGATTATTTCATGATATATTTTTCTAATGCATATGGTATAATGGGAATTTTTAACGACCATCTAATTTTATTGGCATTATTAGTTATGGTCATGGCAACACTAAGCATAAATGTCTCTAATAATTTAATTATAAATACTTTTCAAGAAGGTAATTAAATGGAGTTATCCCAAATCGCTAAAAATTAATTATGAAAAAAGAATTGGCCAGGATTTAAAAATTCATCACCAATAATTGCTCCTAATGTAATTCCAGGCACAACAGTACCTATGATGGCTGGTCATCTGATGGAATACTTTGGCTTCAGTGGTCCTATGATGACTGTGGACACAGGATGTAGCTCTAGTTTGTCTGCTCTTGAAATGGCTGTCAGTGATCTTAATGCTGGAAAATGTCAGTTTGCCATGGTTACAGGTGAGGATATAATTTCATCTGTACAATGGTCTCCAGGTATAAAGAGCTTGGATATTACAAGGTACGGCTTACAATGGGTGATTTTTAATCCCGAATTAGTTCTTGAACATTTCATTCATAAAATGTTGAATATAGTGAAATAATTTATAATGAGATTCTGCGTATAAAGAGTTCATTAGTAGTAAGCACTACTGGATATAATGAGATGTTCGCAGTATGGATAATAACACCTGCTAGTATTTTGATTTTAATATCTCAAATTCTCTGACACTTGAATTTATTCTTAGCCCAATCATGTTCAAATAGCAAAGTTTGACTGAGTGTATAAAACATTTTTGAGGCGCATTGCTATCAGCGATGTAGCCTCATTGCTGACGACCCCATTTCTTTCTTTCAATTACTGTGGCGACAAAGGACTCCACAATATTGATTCTAAATACGCTATTGAAAATAGTGCAAATGTATATTGACAAGTTGGTGATATTCATTGTCTATTTTTAAATATCAAAAAACATAAAAATCTCACATGTATATGATCTTAAATTCACTGTCAAGGAATTTTTGTTACATCACTCAAAGCTTTGTGTCCAATATTTCAGACTTAAGATATCACTCTAAAAATGGTTGCAAATTGAAGATTGGTATCAGGACCAAGTCACCTAGGAAGGCCGAGATAGTTGCACTTGAAACAATTAAAATACAATTAAAATTTAATTCATTAATATTGAGTGATGTAACGGAGACACTTCAAGTTTAATTCAAATTAATTAATTACAACTGAATTATATCTTACTTGTGACACTCATTTTTGCCCCTTTATAAACAAAATTTCTGTCCATTGTTCTCATTTACACTCAAATCTAAAGACTAATACATAAAAAGATCACCTTCTGTTTCAGACGTAACAGGACACAAACTTCAGCACACAGAAAAGAAAATTTCCTCTAAAATTAAAATTAATTGAACAAATTTTTTATTAAAGGATTTGCACTTGCATTTGGGCATTTTTTTGGCCAAGTTTGCATAATGATATGGCAAAGGAAGAAAATTATATGCCTCATTTCAACATATAGAGATGTAACACTGGACACTGAAGCCTTCCAACAAACTTTTTTTTTTAAAATTACTTAATTGTTAAGTTTTTACTTTGAATCAGATCACAGGAAACTTTAAGAAAATTTTAACTTAATAAATAAGTAAACAATTGAACAAATTTTCAGTTTTATTTAAATAATATACACTGTATTGTATATGCCCCTTTCTACACAAATGTCATTTTATCTTCTGTCAAGATATCAATCTTGATCTTTTCCAAGTTAAAGAGTCACAGAAGTGATCAGTGGCCATTCTATGACCTGAAAAGAAAAGAAAAAAAATGGTGAAAAGGTAGTTTGACAAGGATATTAAGATCTATACTCGTACTTTGATAGTGATGTAACACTGATCTCATGATATTTTCACAAATTTAACTTGGACACAAAAACTGGTGTCCTATGTTACATCATGTAATGAAGTTAAAGAATGACAGAACAATGTATAATACATACTATTTCACTCAAGTTTATTGTGTGTTTTGCACTTCTTAAAACACCAATTAGGTATTTTTGTCAGAAGCCAATCAACAAAAAAATATGCACATTCATAAATAGTGATGTAACAATGACACATTCTGTTGTGGCTTAATAATCTTGTCAAAGTTACATCTTTTATAAATTTTCAGATATTTTCTAAAATTTTCTAAAATAGAGTTTACAATGGTTATTACTTGATACAATTAAATTAAGCTCAATCAGTTGAAATTTAATCACATGTAAATTAACATTTTTGAATTAAAAGATTTAGGTAATACTTGATTGGTGGATGTGATGTAACTGTGGACACAATCAGTCCAACCATAGTGTGAAAATAAATAAGCATAATTCTTATATTAATGTAGCATAGTTCAATATTTACAGTTTATTAGAAAATTAATTCTTATTTCTTTGCAAACACGCAAATCTGGCATTATATATGTTTCAAAATACATCCTTAAATCGCCGAAAAAGATGAGGTCCCCAAAAAATGAGAGACGTAACATGTAAATGACCTACCTACTACTCGTGTCTCCTGTCATCTTTTTCTTGGAACTGATCCAACACGTGCACGGGTCTCACCAAAAGTGAAAGTAGAGACCAGAAAATGTCATACAAACAGGATGTCGTCCTCTGGTCACCCGAGTATTTGATGTATGACACGTGTATACAGACGTAACGTTTTGACACGAAAATACAGATAAAATTATGATGATTATTTTTGAAATAATACTTTCACATTTGAACACAGCCATAGTTCGTAAATCTTTTACGACGTCTCTAATTGCTATAAATAGAACATATCATCGAAGTTTCCTTCGATTGTATCTGAAAGCGGCTGTGCGCGAGACGTAACAAAATTGACACGAAATGTTACATCCCCAAGCATAAAATTTAACCATTGTTTAATTTTAAAAATATTCAATATTTTTTTGACAAACCCAGTAAATTTGATAAATAAATTTGTATATAATAAACGAATCAAGAAAATTAGGTGGAATGATTTTATTTACTGCTGCTATTCCTTCATTTCTTCGGACCATATGAAAAAATGTCACAGAGATTGTCCACTGAATTGCATCAAAAACAATCATTACAAGTTTGATTATTCGCTTGACAATCATTAAAACATCATTAGTTATTAAATATGAGCATCAGAAAATTATTAAATAAGTTTATTCATCAAAGTTGTGAAAGAAAAAGAAATAAATGGCATTTTAGATAGACGTAACGAAAATTCCTTGACAGCGAATTTAGGATCATATGTTGTTTATACTTTGAAAGCAACAAAAATAATAAAAAAAGAAACAAAAAAAGAGAAAACAACAACAAACAAACGTGCACTACGCGGAGTAAGATCTGTTTGCATCACAGCAGCTCGTACTATAAATTATTAGGCCTTGTAAGGCGATATTGCTTGTACGAATATCTGAGAAAAATATACAATAATTTTATTTTATAAAACATCACTAACAATAGGAACAAGATGGTTGTTTTTATAGAAATAGAAGGGATATTATTATTTTTTCACTCGATGAAACAAATAGTAAAATGTCCAACTGAATAATTTTTTGCAACAAGCTCCACCTTTCGGGAAAAAAATTCCACAAGGGTGACATGAAATGGTGAAATGATCAGTTTTTGGTGAAATGTCGGTTGAATATGATTAATTGACTAATAAAAAAAACTGCAATGACTGTGGATTTCAAATTATAGGATTACTAGTACCTTATAAACATAGACGTTATGAGTTCAATTTTTATAGAGCCAATTTTATCGAAAATATCGGAGGAAATCGGCCGCCATTGACAGGTTTCATAGTATATGGTATACCACACCTGATTGTTTTTGTTTTGTTTTGTTTTTGTTTTTGTTACCGACAGCCAGGAAATTATACAGAATTATTCAATAATTATTCCTTTCTAAATTCTCATTCATTATTTCATCTTCCTGCTAAGATAATAATGAAAGAATAAAAATAAAAATATAATGAAAAATATATAAAAATAGAATTAAAATCAGTTATAAATTAATTTAAATATCAATGAATTATAATTGGTATCTCAGACTATCTTTAAAAAGTGTTTGACCTCTCCTGACCGACTGGCTATAAAAAATGCCAAGACTCAAAACATTTTTTAACCTCAAAGAAACGATATTTTAATTTTTACTTTTATTCCTGATTTTCCCTCAACATGTATGTTGAATTTTTCAGAGAATTTTTGTTGTTGAGTTTTCTATCTTCAATGCGATGCGCCTCTCAGGCCATCAGGTTTATAATTTTATTTTGGTAAATGGTGTTGTGTTTCTCTCTGTCATTTAAGGAGGAAATGCTTATTCATAAATAATTGAAGAAGTCAGAGAAAAAAAAAAAAAAATTGTCATGTGTCTATGTTGAAATTTCTCCTTGACTTGAAACAAATTTAGTTAATCAGAGCTACACTCTTATCAGAGACTTCTAGTTTTGTGAATTATAAACATGTATAGAACAATTTTCATCCACATTTCCATGAAAACAAGCACTGCAAATGTAAAAAACAAAAATAAACCATGTCTTTTAATATTTAAGTGAGTATTGCATTGGGAAACATACTGAAGAAAATATTTCTTTGTTGAAAGTAATCAGATGAGTGAGTGATATTCTTTGTAAAACTTGGTGCACTAGAAGAATAAACAATACTATTCCATAGGCTCAAATTTAAGAGTGCAGAAGGGTAGCAATCATTTACCAGAAGAACATTAGTAGGGTGTATTTTCCTTTGTTAGAAAAGATTTGTTTTTCAGGTGCCAACCTTTTGCTCAATCCAAGTTATTTTCAACAAATGATGCAACTGGGCATGCTCAATCCCTCTGGTCACAGCAATGTGTTTGATGCTAAGGCTGGAGGATATGTCAGAGCTGAGGGGGTGGTGGCTGTTTTACTCACAAGGTGTGTTACGTCACATAGGTAACATGAGGCACCTGAATATTGTCAGTTTTTCATGCTATGACCAACTCAGCTTCATTGTCTGGAACTGAAACTTAAGAAACAAGTGGCATGATTTAAAAATTGATGGAAAATTTTCTTTAAGAGTCTTCAGGCCTGTGCATCTACAAGACAATCTTCATGCAAGGCAATAACACAGAAAAATCCTGGACCAATTTTGAAATCATGTTACATACTTTTAGAGTTCCAGTCCAAGATGGAACTGAATTGGTCAGCTTGAGAGACTCGTAATATTCAGGTGACTGTCACAGCCCACAGACCTCTATGTCTTGTTAAAGCATTCAATATCAGCTTTTTACTTTATTTTTTGTGAGGAAACATAATTACTTAATTGTAAAATATAGGAACTTAAAAAAACAAAACACATAAAGAATTGTCCAGTAGAAGTAAATGATTTCAACCACAAGGTATAGAGTTGACTTTGGTGGGGAATATATGGCTTTACAGAAAGTTGGTCAATAGAGATTAAGCATTGGATCTAAAGTATAAAAAATAATGTATTTTGATAAACACTGACTTTTCACTTTTATACACATGTATGATCTATTTAACAGGAATGTTACCATTTGCAAACGTGTGTATCTGAGTATAAGTGACATCCTCACCAACTGTGATGGCTTCAAATCAGAAGGTACTGTCATGATTTAATAGGCATATATTAATTCAATTCAGGCAGATTTTCCTTGAATGATAAAGAGTTGAAAAACTCGCTTGAGTGGAAAATAATGGATGTACATGTGAGATCAGTATAATGAACTTTATAATTGCTTGCATGGTATTGGAAACCATAAAATATATAGTACCGTAAGTTTTGGGGTATATGTAGATGGGGTATATAGGTCGAAAGGCTCATTTTCAGCCGTAATTTTTAAAAAATCTTTAGATAGGACGAACTCGGAAGATAGGACGAGGCTTTGTTTATCGATTTTCTAGAGATTCTTACATAGATACTACGTATCAGAACATGTATACCTCTTTAATTAACCCCTGATATTAACGTATTGATAAAATAAACTGGTATTTTTGTGAGTACAGCATTTTAATAGTGTTTTATACAAACATAGCTAAAACTTCGTTGAATTGTGATATAACGTATTTTCTCCAACTTGCTTGTTAAATGCCGTCGTAGTTTGACTGTCGTTAAACACATAAATACGGTAGTATACAACAGCTATAATTAGGGAAATACCCGAAATCAAACAATAATTATTTCCATTTTAGAACATCGTGGACACATTCTTTTATTCCGACATTATTTACCGGGGTACAATCTTAACTTCCATGACCGCCATTTTTATATTTCTTGTCCAGGGATTTGCTAAAACACGCAATTGACTATTACATGTACAGTGAGCAATCGAAATTAATCATATTATCATGCTTTAATTTTGCTTGAGATGTTGTTGTAAAAAATAAATTTAATTGAGAGTACATTCGCAATTTAACAGTCATCATGAATTTCACAGTTTTGTTTGTTCGATGATGTATAGCACTAATACCCCTGTAACGGCACGTGGATCTGTTAATCATGCCCTTCGGGTGTTTAAACCAACACAGGCGTTAACACCTTTTTGTACACAGTGTATATACCTTTATCTTTCAGACAATGAAAATTATATTAGAAGCCAATCTTTGTATAATTCAGTGTACCCCTTGGGATACAAAACAAAATAGTTATGACTAGCGGTGTATTTGGTAAATAATTTTTGGAATTTACTGGCAACAATTTATTTCACGCATTTTACATTTACCCGTAAATAAATATCAAGACAATGAAAAAATATTTAGGTATACTATTTCAATTAATCGTTACAAATAAATGTAAAAATAAATTAAAAAAAAAGAAAAAAAAAGATTACAATTGCGATTGTGAAAAACTCTTCCGTATTTTAAACTTTGATACGGTTGCGGTTTTATTTTTAGTAAACGATTGCGACTTCCAACTTCACAAGATGGACACAATATGTTGTAAATATACTTTGAGACATTATTTACTAGATGATATTATAAGTTTTTTGTACATCGACGGATATTTAATGGAACTTATTTTGTAAGAAATCAATGAAATAAATAATTAATTCTTTATTGTTTATTTTTTTCTCGGTAAAATAACTTAAAAAAATACGAAAATGGCACAGTTTTGCTTTAAAATTGACGTAAATTTTACTGATTTGGGGGGCATTTTTCGTAAACTTGAGCCTTAGATAGGACGATTCGTTAAATAGGACGACCCCAACAGTTCTGAGAAAAAAAGTATCATTTTATCTTCCAAAACTTACGGTACATTATGTAATTTAACAAAGTAGCAATTACCTTGAGTGAGTTTAAATTCATGGAGGCAAAAAATTGTAGTCCACACTGAATCAAATGCTCAGGTTTGCAATTAATTTATGAAGCACAATTAATAGGACACTGACATTTTAAGGCAAATAGTGACTTTGAAGGTCATTCATGGCACAGAGGTTATTTATATGAACCAGTTGATGTCTCCTGTCCCTGAACTTATGCTATTAGTACAAAGCTAAATTCTGTCAAGTTCTTGTTTTGGTCAAAATGGAAATGGATAAATTGTAAAGCTCCTACTTGGCATAAGAGATTGCTTTTTTGTGACCATGGAATGTATTGACCCTGACCCTTGCATCATTTTATTTATAATTTATTTCTTTGGTAGTATGGTAATGATATCTCTTGCTCTTTTTTTTTTTTTAAGGAATCACCTTCCCAAATAGTCAGTCTCAGGCAAAATTGATGTCTACAATTTACAGCAGAGATGACATTGATGTTAATGATATAGCATATGTAGAAGCTCACAGCACTGGTACTAAGGTCGGGAACAACATATCACTAACAACCATGAATCAGTTGACATGTACCTCCTAATTTTATAGATTTTCTAAATATTAATGAATCCTGTCATGAGTTGTACTTTAAGATTTTTGAGATTTCGAGACTGTTTATAATATAGGCTGGGGATCCTGTGGAAGCAAATGGCATTGTCCAAGCCCTCTGTGAAGGCAGACACAAGCCTTTGCTGGTCGGATCAGTCAAAGCTAGTATGGGGCACAGCGAGGCCACTGCAGGTAAATGAACATTTACCAGTAATGATGTTCAGTACAGGTGTACTTAAGGAGTTATAATTCAGTATACATTGGATTCTTGTCCTTGCAGGATTAGCAAGTTTGGTGAAATGCATCATGATAGCAAGGCATGGAACAATTCCACCCCAGATAAATTATGATTCACAAAACCCTAAAATAGATGGAATTACACAAGGAAAGATCAAAGTAGTAGACCAGGCAATGCCTTTAGCAGGTAAGGAGCAGCCATAACAGCTTTTCTTTTCGCTTACAAAATTTCATTGAAGCTTAAATTCAGACAAAAGTCTTTCCTTGAATGATTCATTATAACTACCTCACACAAACAGAGTTTCACGGTCCTTTGGATGAGACCGTATAAACCGAGGTCCCGTGTCACATTAGGTGCTGGCACGAAAAATATCCCTCACTGCTCAATGGCTGTAAGTGCCAAGTATAGGACAAAATTTGCAGCTCTCCACCGGCAAGTGGTGGCGTCTCTATATGAGTGTAAAATTCTCGAGAGGGACGTTAAACAAAATACAAACAAACAAACAGAGTTTGGGTGGTAAAAGTTGGAATCACCATTTCAATCTGTCCATTTTGGCCTCAGATTATCAGATTAACAAGTTTCAATGACCCAAAGTATAGAAATCAAGAGCCCTGAAATTATTGCTTTTAAATGAAGAAATATTGAAAGCTTACACTTGAGACAAAGGTTTCTTGTAACTCTAAGATATGCCCTAACCCAGGGTATTTTGGACAAGGGCAATGTTACAGGTTTGCTTTGGCCATAAATTTGAAGGAAAATATTAGAGGATAATACTTTACACAATGTGTCAAAGGTGAATGTGTAACATCCTGCATCAAGGTCACAGGGTTGGTTGAGTTCTAGTTCCTGTCATGGGGAGATTTCACATTTTGAGGTCTAGTAAGACAAACATGACTTGTGCTTTGGTAAGGTGTTTTGTGATCATTACATCTGTGCAGCTATAGATTTTTAGCTCTGCTGATGGGAGGCCAGACAAACTTATGCTATGCTGAAGTGTCCATTGTCCATCTATCCAACTGTCTGTCTATTTGCAAATAATAATTCAGAGTGCTATTTCCTACTACAGATTTGGTCTGATTTTAATATTAACTTTTACAAAAGTAGGCAACACCAGATGTATAAATCTAGTCTCGAGACCATAAACTGAGAATAGACTCTAGTCAAAATTTCATAGTAGTATATGTAATGGATATATGCCGAATACTGTTCTATATGTAAAATTATCAGACTGTTTGAGGCCCGTTAGGGCCTCAAACAGTCTGATAATTTTACATATAGAATTGTATGAGGCATATATCTTACTTAAAACATTGCTATTTAAATGTCCAAAAGTTACCTGGATAAGTCCGATAATTACACAATAGGAGTTCAGGCATCAATAGTTTTCTACCTGAAACCATCTAATAAGTAGACAAAAGAAAAGAGAAAGTTTTTTTTTTTTAAGACGGTAAAATCAGTGAGTGAACTCTTTTGTTTCATTCATTCAATGGCAGTCGTTTGGCTTAGCAGGATCTATGGACAGTGGTCAGGTGATGAGGGATTTTTTATGATTTGGAATATTTTTTTTTATTAGGTGCGTTTGACATTGATACAGATACAGTGTTGGATGATATCTTCGAAATGCATTTAAAGTAATAATGCAGATTTTTATCTAAATTTTGATTGGATGATATAATGAAACTCTTGGGCTTTAAAAGTGCGGTCATCATGGTCATTGGCGAACAAATCTCGTTAAATGAAGAGATTCGCAGACTGGTTCTTTATCAGAAATGGATTTAAATTGGCTTATTCCCAGTGATGTATCGAAAACGCTTTGCAAAAAAACTGAATGGAAAGTGTTACTTTTGAGGAAGTTTAAGACTCCAGTTTCTTCTTGGATTTGCTATTTTTAACAACTTAATTTCCTCGCGTTCGCGTTCCCTGAATTTTTTCTCCCTAACTTTTTTTGGTTTCTGGACAAATTAAACCTTGATTTCACTCTTGTTGTTGTTTTTTAACTACTGTCCGATTTTGTTATCACTGCAGTCCGATAATATATTATTGGACTGCTAATCATTATTATCGGACGACTACATGTAAATTTTTAGACTGCAAGAACAAAGGCATGACTTCACAGCAATGTTTTAAAAATTTTGAAATAATTTGAAAATAAAACAAAATTTTCATCATTCATGCAGAACTTTGTATTTGAATATTATAACTTGCAACTATTTAGACATATTTTTTACAAATAGAAACTGTGACTCTAAATTCTGTTCTCAGATTATGGTCTTGGAACCTAGTTATCAGTATTTGATTTGGGTGAATGGTGTTGCCTTGTTAAATTAAACAAGCATTCTGAGAGTATTGCATTAGCAATACTAGTCCCCTACCGGCAACTGTATTCTGGTTCCCGTTAAGAATTGAAAATGCCATAATTCCGCCAAAAATCAATGAAGCGGGACGAAATGCAAACTTGATCTTTAACTAATCAAGGTAAAGTAACATACCAAAAATCAGCTCAATATCTGAAAGCGTTTAGAGAAAATTGCGAAAAACCCCTAAAAATTGAAAAGGCCGTAATTCCGTAAAAAATCAATGAAACAGAACGAAATGCAGACTTGATCTGTAACTCATCAAGATACACACACGTACCAAAAATCAGCTCAATATCTGCAAGCGTTTAGGAAAAAAGTGCGGAAAACCAAGTGGGACAGACTGACAGACAGATAGAGGGACAGACAGACAGACGTACGGACGGACGGACAGACTCAGAGGAAACCTATAGTCCCCTCCGGTTTCACCGGTAGGGGACTAAAAAAAGAGAGAATTTTTAAAATTTATTTAAATTGACAAAGACAAGTATTTAGACAGGTTTTTCTTAAAGTGTTTATTTTTGAGTTCTAATTAAACCCCTGCTCCGAAGGAGAGGGGGGTATACTGTTTTACCCTTGTGTGTCTGTCTGTCTGTCTAGCTGTGTGTCTGTCCGTAACAAATTTTTGTCACAGTTTTCTCAGCAACTACTCATCGCAGATGCTTGAAATTTTAGCACACTCTTTGTTTAGGCGTGCCATATGTTGGGATTCATTTTTGTATGAATCCGATGTCTGTCTTTAACATACATAACAAATTTTGGTCGCAGTTTTCTCAGCAACTACTCATTGCAGTTGCATAAAATTTCAGCACACTTTTTGGTTAGGCATGCCATATGTTGGGATTCATTTTTGTACGAATCCGATGTCAACTTCCTGTTTATCCGTGTGTCTGTCTGTACCATACATAGCAAATTTTGGTCAGTTTTCTCAGCAACTACTCATCACAGATGCTTGAAATTTTAGCAAACTCTTTGGTTAGGCATGCCATATTTTAGGATTCATTTTTGTACGAATCTGATGTCAACTTCCTGTTTATCCGTGCGTGTGTCTGTACCATACATAACAAATTTTGGTCGCAGTCTTCTCAGCAACTACTCATCGCAGTTGCATAAAATTTCAGCACACTTTTTGGTTAGGCATGCCATATGTTGGGATTCATTTTTGTACGAATCCGATGTCAACTTCCTGTTTTTCCTTGCGTGTGTCTGTACCATACATAACAAATTTTGGTCACAGTTTTCTCAGCAACTACTCATCACAGATGCTTGAAATTTTAGCACACCCTTTGTTTAAGAATGCCATATGTTGGGATTCATTTTTGTAAAGATCCAATGTCCACTTCCTGATTATCACTGTGTCTGCCATAACTGAACTTGTATATTCACATCAGAGTGGGGGTATTATTAGTGAGCATTGGCTCACAGACTTCTTGTTTACTTCAGATGGATACATAAGTTTGAATTCATTTGGATATGGAGGCGCTAATGGGCATGCCGTGTTAAAGCCTTTTAGAAAACAGCATACTATTAACAAAGGCAAGCTATTCAAGATAACCTATTTTGGAAATTTAAGAGAAAAGAAGAAATTTGCTTGCTAATCTTTCATTATTTTGTGCATCCTTGACAGATGTATCACATAGCCTAGTAACCATCCATACAAGAAATGAAAGAGAAATGGAGTCTGTTGTGGACTTTGTTAGGAAGAATAGGAAGAATGTATCTTCACTGGCTCTTCTGTCCAATTCCTGGTTGTCAAGTGACCCAAGAAGACCCATCAGAGGATACATAATTGCAGAACATCACAATAATGGTAAAAATAAAAATCAGAGGATTTGGCATAAAAGAAGAAATTAGCTTTTTGGAAAACTTGTAGATGTACTCTATATTTTCCATTGTAGGTGTTAGCCATAAGGTGTCTAAACACATCTCTTTGGTTCCATCTATATGGCTGTTGTTGAGAGACGTAGCATTTGAGAAGTTGGCCCTGTCCTCAATTCTCATAGAAAATCCTATTTTCAGGAGATCAATTCAAACTTCCCAGAAGGTAAAATCCAGAGAGTTATATAGGTAGACAATTCTTTTCATCAGTGTAAAATTATGATAAAGATTAAAAATTTCTCTAAATTTGACAGATTCTGAATAAAATGGATGAAACATTTCAACTGACACAAATGCTGACTATAGGACCAGCAGCTTGTCAAATTAATGAGAGAATAGTTCTTGCCATTTCTTCATTAATAGGTAAATTTCTTTTTCATTTTAGCATATTGGAGAAAATTGTCATGAAATATTGAAGAAGATTTTTAAAACGCAATATATGTGTGATGTAGCTATTTACAGTTGTTTTCATATTTTAGTACCTTAAACATTGTATATAGTGTATTGTTTATAGTCACTAAGAATAATTTCAGATGAATGTGATGAATATAAAGACTGCATAAATAGGTGTTATCACAATAGCCTGTTGTATAGATACCCTTTAATGAATACTGTGAGTATCCTCTTGATCTCAATTATTTGTGTACATCACAGAATCAGTAGGTCATCAAACTGTAGCTAACATTGATTACTGCACCCCCTAGGAAAACAAGTTGCATTATCCAATGAAATCTTGTTTTGTTCTGCCTTACGCCAATGAATTTAAGACTGGACAGCAATTTAAATTCTGACCAATGAGATTGCCTTATTTTCATTTGATTAAGAAAGACCATTTTAGCGTCATTTTCTAAAAAAAATTTGTTGCACACAGACCGCGTTGAATTTTCTAAGCCTTTTTTTGCCAAATTTTTATGTATCAATATCAACAAACCTTTCAAGTGGCGTGATGTACAACAAAAATCAAAAGTGCAACTATTGTGACGTTATTTTAATGCCCTTTGAACTCTATGATTTTATTATGCCATCTATAGCCTGGGATTCACCTCATATCCAAATTGGCAGATTATCATCACCTCTGAATGTTCTTAGACATTCCTGAATGGTACATTATCTACAGCAAAGAGACTAAAAGTTACCATTCCTACATAATTGAGTGTAACAGTGTCAAAGACAATGTGTTATTTTAGACTGCACAGGTCTGCTTTTTGCAAGGGATGTTTTTTCTCATTCTTGCTCCTAACTTGAGGATTAAGAGATTAATACTGAAGAAAATGAATTGGATTTATTTATTGCATTTTTTTTTCTAGTTAGACCTAAAACAAACAAATATGATACCTTCATAAGAGGACAATTAGTTGATAATTTGCCTCAGCTAAGTCTTGTTGTCAATCTTATATTAAGTCTTCTTGTTTTATCACTAGGTTTAGTGGACACCATTACAGAGGCAAATGTCCCAGTTCAGGGTGTAGTGGGATGTGGTCTGTCAGAAATTGTGGCAGGATATAAAGATGGCTGCCTTAACAGGGAACAGTGTGTTCGATTGGCTTACTTGATAGGAGAGCAAATTGAGAAATGTTCAAAAACAGGTCACGATGCAAGCCCAAGATGGCTGATCTTTCTACAAAGCATAAAAATACATCATTTTAGTCCATTATTTAATGTAAAAAGTGATCCAGAGTTTTTTTTAATTTTTTAAAGATCTCCATGGAAGATATTCTGTATATAAAACCACTTTGAATCCAGAAGACATCTACTGCCTTGGACCATTCACCAGGGTGCTCTCAGTGATTGCCCAGGATATATTTGTCATCGCAGTGGACAACAAATACAAAGATGAGGTTTTAAGAACCATTCATGAAAAAGGTAAGATCTAAGATAAAATTACTACTGGTTTAGTAATCATTTATTTTTAACAATCCCCTGAAGGTTTATATTAATTTCAGTACATAGATTCTTAAATGAGCAGAGCTTCTTTGTTAATATACATATGTACATTATTCATTATGTCGTTAAATTCAGCATTATTTAACGAAGATCAAAATTGAAAAGTATGTTAGATTTCGCCTAATATGTTATACAGTAAAATGCACTTATAGTGAAGTGCCAGGGACTAACAATTTTGATTCCTTATAAATTTGTTATAATGTCCAATAAGTTTATAATACATTATAAAAGCAGAGGAAATGAAAATCACTTTGGTGTGAGGATGAATTCATTATATTAAGTTTGTCCCTGGCAGACACTTTAATTGTGATTATACCTTAAATTTCAGCTCAGTTCTGTTTTGCATCATACAAAAATACTGTAGAATATCATCATTGTTCTTGAGGGATCAATGTTTATGGGTCGATCTTACCCATGGATGTGCATCCCCATAAACCATACATTTGTCAAGAAATTGGTTCATTGAATGAATCTTCTACATACAGGACCTTAGACCCACGAAATAACGTGGCCATGAACTAGTGTAATTTTGCTTGCCCACAAACATTGTCCCCCACAAATTAAAGTGATTTAACATTCTACTACAGTTATTGCCGAGATCAAAGAAATGCCACGGACATTATTCTCCATTAATTCACAAACTTCATCAAAAAATTATCAGATCAGAAACACATATCAAACCTGTAAAGTTGACAAGAATATTTCACTGTAGAATTTAATACTTACAGTTAAACTTCGTTATCTCGAAGTTGATGGGACCGTTGATGAACTTCGAGATATCCGGGGGTTCGACATATCGAGGGTTATAATTCAAATGAACTTCAAATAAACTTAGTGAAGTGAACATGTACTTAATAGTAAAAACATGTCAAATTCCTTCTTGTTTGAAATTCTGTATACGATTTCTTTAATAAACATGTACATGTATTTAGCAATAAAAAGATTTTTACATTCTCTTTATAATTCACAAAATAAAAAAACTTTGTATAATATGCACATAAGTATGATCTTTCTACCAAGCCGCATGTCAACCGCTAGCATCGTTTCCCATGTATACATAACCGGATATTGTCTATGCAGTGTAAATTTAAAACCGGTCGCTGTCAGAATAACGAAAACGAAATATACATTTTCTTTTATAAGAAAAACATGTTCATACATGTATAATCAGTTAAAAGAAAATTATTTTACCATAATAAAATCAAATGCAAAAGAAAAATCACACACTTTTGTCTAACAACAGAACAACACTGAATCACAGGGCACTATAGCACAAGTTTTTACTGCGACACACGCTCACATGATGGTGTGTACGGACGATTGTAAATTCTGCACGCTCATATAGGAAAAATAAATTCTAATTGCATTAAATTACAGAATTTTGTTTTACTTCGATGTTTATGATTTTCACTTTCATATGCATAAACTATGTATATTTCACTTTCATATGCATAAACTATGCATATTTCACATAGCATTAAATAGCGATTATCAAGATGAACGTACCCAAGCCACAAAACAACGTGTCATCCACGCGTATGCATTAGACTAATACACACAACCTTGGCTTGCATAATTAAAATCAGGGTAAGCCATACATACACTTCGTATAATTATCGCGCTATTATTTGTTGATCACAGGAACACAGGTAACCCGTGCGTGACAGACAGGTGGGTGTTATCAATAGAGCGTCCAGTTTACCTAACTGACTTGATCATCAGTGCGGAAAATTATCCTGACTTCGAGATAACGCATGTGATTTTAATGAATGGGTACACAATTTTACTTCGAGATAACCGGGGTATTCGACATTACCGTGTTCGACATAGAGGGGTTTATTTTAATCATTTATGAAGCAAATTTCGTCGGGACCGCGGCCTTACTTCGACATATCCGGGGTATTCGAGATATCCGTGTTCGAGATATCGAAGTTTAGCTGTATTTACAACTGAAAAATGTCGGTTTTTATAGCTAGATTGGGCTGTTCCATGGACTTCCCAACAACATTTACACTCGGTGATTTTACAGATAAAGCAATATGAAATAGACAATTGATTTTGTTATTTTACATTCATAAAAATTAATCAGTATATATTGCAAACAAATTTATAAATAAAGGATATTTTTAACCCAACAAAAGCTCAAATCCTCTGCATTCTATGCAATAGATACAAAAGTAAACAAACAAATTGACCATCTGGTGTTAATTGGAACAGCGAATTCAGATCATGACATGGTGACCTTATTCGTTTCTCTGTTGAGGAAAAGTTCAGTTGTATTGTAGAATAGAAATGAAGTCCTTGTTGTTGTGAATGATGCAGGATACCCTCTTTGGTGGCGAAATGGCGAAAGCCTCGGCTTTTATATTTCAAACAACATTTCGAGACATCGGAGGTTATCCTGCAACATTCACAAAAATGTGGATTTTATTTCTTAAGTATTTAACCAAAAAGGTTAATAACAGCTTCTGTTTAGTGCACTTTCTTATTCGCACATGTCCATCAGTTTAGTTTAATATTGACTCCACATTTACCTTTTAGATGGGTTCTTCTTGTAGGTGGTTATTATTTGGAATTAAAAGACAGACTCCCTCTGTATAGTGAATGGATGGACGGTTTGATTGATGGTATAGAAGAACAAGCTCAAGAAATTATAAACAGTCCTAAATGCAGGTGAAATAAAGGAAAATTCTTTCTTAAACAATAATAGGCTTAAAATCTTAATTAGTCATAATGACCATTAGAGACCAAATCGATTTTAACCTGAAATCCAGTTGCTCTTTTTACTGAGTCACTTGACTTGCATATTGCAGTCAGTTTTATTTCAGCTTGCATAAACTTTGCAATTTTTTATTTCAGTCATATTGCATCAAAGTATTCATTGGTATTGCATAAACTATGTTCAAAATAAAGAAATGGATAAGATGAGTTTGATTCACAAAAAGATTTCATCCCAAAAGGATTCTTGACTATCTATTTTGTTGTTTTAAGAGAAACCTTGAAAAATCAGTGAAACTAAATCATGCATTGATCTGTATTTTTAGCTCACCTCAACAAAGTTGGGGGAGCTTATGTAATACCCTTGGCGTCGGTGTCGGCGTTCCAGGTTAAGGTTTTTGGAGCAGTTTTCTTTTCAAGTACTTCTATGGCTTATATTAGTCAGAGATGCATGGAGGATGCTTCTAGTATGTTTCATTGTACCAGTCAAGGTTTCAGATGCTGCAATTTCAGCTAAAGAATGACCAGGTTAATGTTTTTGGAGCAGGTTAAAGTTTTTGGAGCAGGTCTCATTTCCAAGTAACTATAAGCCCTATATTGACCAAACTTGCATGGATGATACATCTAAGGATGCACACTACTAAACTTGCTTCGGATGCTGGATCTGACCTACATTTTCCGGATGAGTGACCAGGTTAAGGTTTTTGGAGCAGATGTCATTTCCAAGTATATTTAAATCCTATATTGACCAAACTTGCATGGATGATACATCTAGGAATGTACATCACTGGACTTGCTTCGGATGCTGGATCTGACCTATATTTTCCGGATGAGTAACCAGGTTGAAGTTTTTGGAGCAGATCTCATTTCCAAGTAACTAAAAGCCCTATATTGACCAAACTTGCATGGATGATACATCTAAGGATGCACACTACTGGACCTGCTTTGGATGCTGGATCTGACCTATATTTTCCGGATGAGTAACCAGGTTAAAGTTTTTGGAGCAGATGTCATTTCCAAGTATCTATAAATCCTATATTGACCAAACTTGCATGGATGATAAATCTAAGGATGTACACCACTGGACTTGCTTCGGATGCTGGATCTGACCTATATTTTCCGGATGAGTAACCAGGTTAAAGTTTTTGGAGCAGATCTCATTCACAAGTAACTATAAGGCCTTTCTGAACCAAACTTGCATGGATGATATATCAAGGGACAAACAATCTCAAAACTTGCTTTGGATGCTAGATTTGACTTACATTTTGTGGATGAGTGACTAGTTTTAAGTTTTCAGATAAGTCTATTCCCAAGTAACTGCAAGCCCTATCAGACCAAAATTGCATAAATGTTGCATCTAGGGATGCACACTCCTAGATTATTAGTTTAGTGTGGGACTTTGCCTTACTTAAAGACAACATTCGTTGAGGTGAGCTCTGTAATCTCTGATTACCTATTTTAAAATGTCAGTGTAGTGACGACAACAACAACATAAGAAAGAAGCAGATCAAGGATCTGATCTTAGTAATAATGATATGATGTATCAATATTAGAAGAGTGCCCCATATTTTAAATTTTCAGTGATTATCTCTGAATTGACTTTAAGTATAAAGCAGTAAAGCTATAGAGCCTTATCAGAGACTTCTGCTTGTAGGTCAAAGAATATGGTCAGTCTGTCCCAGGACTATGCCTATGGTTGCCAGTCCAATGTTAAGAGTTTGTTTGACTGGGATTATCTGAGAAGAGTTCTGATCACCCCTGTCACAGTCACAAGTTTGATGGCCACACTGCCAGTGGACACTAGTTTAGTGGACATCAACTTTTCCAGGCTCACTGATCCCAAAAGACTAGAGAAACATTTTGTGTTTGACCCTATTCCATGCAATGGAGACCTGAAATCTGTTCTGAAGATGCTGGGAGAGATACACCTCTTAGGCATGTTGAGGATGTGTGCATGTTATAATTCTCTTGGTTGAAAAACATAAGACCAATATGCATTGGTAGTCTGTATGTCTTTGGCTGTATGCTAAGCATGGAGCATATTGATGCTGTTTCCCTCTTACCACTGATAGGTTTGAATTGAGACATAACAAAGTCAATCTATAACATATCTGGTAATTATGGGCTAAAATTCTTTGTCCAGAACTGAAAAATATTTTATTATAAGTTTTCATATTCATTCCATTTAGGGAGAATCCTTCCAAACAGAGATTTTGTTGTTTCTACCAAGAGCAATGCTAGACTCATTTCTGAAAATGAAAAGCTAAATTATATTTCTGATTTAACATTGTTTCAGGTCATGATGTATCAGTTCAATGTTAGTATGTTTCCTTGATTTAACATTGTTTCAGGTCATAATGTTTGTATGATGTGTCCTTCATTCACTGTTTCAGGTCATGATGTATCAGCACAGTGTTTATATGATGTGTCCTTCCCACTGGATGCCTCTGCTCCTTCCCTAAGTCCATTGGTAAAGTGGAACCACAGTGAATCATGGCTGATACCTGAATGGCCAGAATTTTATTGCAGGGGTAAATTTTGGATTCATTTTCCTATGATTAATATATTATATAGATTGATTGAAGGTCATCTGAGCTTTTCTAAACATAGAGTGTCTGTTCTCTATTTTTTAAGCTCTTTTGAGCAGAAGACTCAAATGACTTTTTCTGATCCAATTTTGTCCATGTCTTGTCCTTCTCTTGTCTGTTAGATATAACATTTGCAACAAAGTGTACTGGGTTGATGGCATTTTATTTTTTTATGTGAAAGGGGAATTTAGTAAAATCCCATGGGGCATTTATTAAGAAATAGTGGCGCAAAATAAAATTGATACAAAAGCTCACTTATAATATAAATGTAGGTACTTTTAGAATATGAAGTTTGAATTCCCTTTGCATATTTTTACAGTAATCTGCAGAATGATTAGCAAAAAACTTTTTTCTTTGTGATAGTATTCTGTATCAGTGTTTTGCAAAAATAATAACGAAAGCATACAGGATTCCTCATCAACAAGAGTATGATATGAAAACGTTTGAAGTAATAATATTTGTTGAAAATGTGTACATAAGGTTTATTGCTATAAGGGGTTTTATCTTGTTTTCCTTTGTCAGAAAGGGAGGTATGAATCAAGGTGGTATTTTGTTTAAATTTTATAGTTAAGGATGATGTGGAGGTGCCATACACCATTAGCGATCTGGAGACAGAAGGAATCCACTCCAAACAGGGTGTGCTGTTGTACCATGCCTTGATTGCTATCAATGAAAAGCACAACAAGGTAAGGAGAAGTAGCTACAATCAGCATGGGGCATCAACCAAGTTAGCCTTTGATGGGACATGTTCTAGATTTATTTCAATGTTCAAACAGATATTGAAATGTAGCATATATAGGGCATATGGTGTTACCCTGTTCTGTCATTCCATCATTATTTACTTTCTGTTCATTATCTCGGCAACGGTTGTACCCATTCAACTCAAATTTAACATATGGATACATCATAAAAATACGCAGGTCAAGTTCAAATTTGGTTATGGTCCCATGACTTTTGACAGAGTTATCCCTCTTGAACTTAGAAAATAATAAGAAATTTTCAGTTTCTGCTCTCTATCTTTTATAGGGATGTATGTATAAGGTTGAAATTGCATGTGCAGGTATTTTACCCAAAAATACAGGTCAAGATATAATTTGGTTGTGGTCTGATGATTTTTGACAGAGTTATCTCTCTTGAACTTAAAGAAAATAAGAAATTTTCAGCTCCCTATCTCTGACTCTTGTAGAGATGTATGTATAAGGTTTGAATTGCATATGCAGGTATTTTACCAGAAAATACAGGTCAAGTTCGAATTTGGTCCTGGTTCGATGTTTTATGACAGTCATCTCTCTTGAACTTGGAAAAGATTTAAAAATTCATAATTTCTAATTATCTCGGCTACAAATGTGCAATTTACAATTTGCAGTTTCTATTTATTATCCTAGATATAAATGCACATTTTGTGTATAACTGTGAGTTCAGATCAATACGCATTTTTGTGCAAACAAATTTAAAACTAAATATGGCATTTGAAATTTTGGCTGCCTGCGGGGGCATTCGTGGTGTCACGACATACCTATTTTTTTTACCAATTTATGCCTCCTTTACCAAGGATGGGGACATAAGGAGGTCATATTGTAACATATATAGATATACATTAGGCCTTTAAAAATTAATAACTTGGTTCTTACGCCTGCCCAAATCTCATTTAACAATGCACATTACCCATTTTTATCCTCAAATGAAAGTAAAATTTCTCTCATGGGCTCGTACAGTGCAAAAAAAAAAGTGTGGAATCCCCCAATTGCATTTTGATTGTAGTTTAGATACTCCCTTCAGTAAAATATATTGATTTCAATGCAAATTCATAAGGGAATGAATTAATTCTTCCATGGCACATAGTGGAAGTTTCTGAATGTTGTTCCATGCCAGAACTATATAACACTATCAAAGACAGCTCCCTCAACCTCAGAACTTGGACATTTCCAGAAAAGTTTCAGCAAGACTTGTTTCATTTAGTGTGGGTAAAACAAAGCTGATAAATTTGACAGTTTGATTTATTAAACAGTGTTTAATAAAATCATAAGCGTTTTTTATAGTGCTAAAACACTCTTAGATTAGTTGTGATACATAAGCAATTAACCAGATGCATCACTAAAAGTGTTGGGCTCTGTAAGCTTTCAAACACATCTGGTTCTTAGGATGCTGTCATTTCATTACATGAATCATCGGAATGTAGAAGATGCAAGAGAAAAGGGAAAGAAGCAGGAAATAAATGATCTTGATTTCTACACTAAATGTTGAAGCACTGTTGATTAAAAGTTGCTAGTTTTGAAATTTAAATTAATTTTTTTTTTTAAATCCCGCATCTATTTTTTATGAGATAAAAAGGGGAAAAAAAACCTCCCTCCCACATTTATTTTTGAGAAAACTGGTCTGAGAACCAAGTTATTAATTTTCTTAGACCTTATGAGTATCCCATATTGTGCACAAATGTTGACCCAAGTGCAAGGCTAAAAGCCCCAGGTTTCCAAAGGTTATATCATAGAAAATAACATCAATTCTTTAAAGTGATATACTAAAATGGTAATGTTGAATATATTTTGATTAAAAAAATTACGTGTTGATGATGATTTTGATGATGTATATTTGATGATTGGAGAAGGCATATAATCAAGGACTTTTATATTTCATCTTCAGACTCATGAACTGACCAGTGGTATGGAGTTGCTAAACATGGTGTGGACTGTGGATGAGATTGATCAAGAAGACATTGACAGCACTGACTCTATACATGTACAGACTGGCAAGAAATCATTTGTGGTAGAAAAAGGTATCATTTTGATTCTTAGGGAAGGTCCAAAATCAGCAACTTGTTTGACATTGAAAATTTTTTCAAAGAATTTAGTTTGTTCAATTTCTGGCTTATTGGTTAAATTTTCAAATGTTATTTATGTAGAAAAATTCTTGAATATGATTTCTTAGTAACTGTGTATATATTTAGTACCGAAAATGACATCAAATTTTGTGTTTCCAGGAGAAATTGTACTACTCTCTGGAGAGTATAGGATATATGAACCAGAAGAAAAGGTCATTTTGCCTAAAATTCCTGGATATGATCTCGATGTCAATGAAAATCTAAAGGGAGGTGATGAAGACAGGTATGTCTTAGAATACAGGCTTGGGATGTCATATAAGCATGCAAACTTCATTATCTGAGGACTTTTAGTATAGGGCCACAGTAAGGGGCTTCATTTCATATTCACTGTGTGAGAGCAGTGTGAGCACTCTGGCCAATGGGCCTCCAGTTTTCTGATTGGAACTCATTTGACAACAAAGCCTAAATTCCATCCAATTAAATGTAAAAAACTGTATTTTATATCTGTAAATGTTAAGCTAAAATGAAATGGGCTGATTCCTGTTGAAAAATTTAAAAAATGTGTCCTGAAAATATTTTCTGCACAGGCATCAGATTCTTTTCATAGATATATTATTGTTGATTTTGTAAATACTCTCAGAGTAAATTTATTAATGGATAAGAATGAAGATGTACAAGGTGAGAGCAATCTACCACTCTGAGGAAAAGTTAATAGGAAAGTTAACAATTTTTGAAAAATATAACTTTTCTATGAACTTTGAAAAAGATATTGTCTCAGAGCTGGGGATTGTCCTGATCACCATGTATGCTTACATTCTTTAGAAGCTTTTTGCAAGCATAACTAGAGTATATTATTTTCACCTTAAACTTTCTCCCTACTTATGACATCCTTTCTTGTATTCTAGAGTTTTTATGCAAAAGACTGAAATAACATGGGAGGATAGCTGGCTGGATTTTTTGGACACACTTTTGGAGTTCTCCATGCAGTGGCTTGAAGGACCATTGTTCAGAATGTGGGTGGATCCTTCCTCTCATATGAAGAAGATCAAAGACTGTGCTAATTTGTTGGCAGTGTTAGAAGGAAGTACAGGTGGGAATTGTAATCTGTCATTGTGCTGATATTAAAGATACCTCTGGAACTTTTTTCATAATAGATAAAGATGCCCTTTTTTTGGTCCCCCAATTCCACATTTTTAATTCTTTTCTTTGAAAAGTGGGGTATGTTAAGTAATGCATTAATTTCATTCTACAAATCATGATGAAACTGTATGAGTTTAACGTGGCAATATATGTTCTCAGAATAAAATTTTTAATACTTTTAATTTCATCATTTTGTGTTTTGTAAGATTTTTTCATTGCAAAAACCAATAATTGTACTTTACTGTAACTTTTTTGTACATTCATATGCTAAGATTCCATCTTAAATTTTTGACTGTCAGGAAGCTTGCCAATTGTCATTATGAAGGATGTGTTGTCATTATTAAGCATGATTTTGTTCTGTTGAGTATGACATCTGAAATGGGCAGGGATCCTGGGTTTGATTCCCAGTACAGTTGTACGTTTTCTCCTTTCCTACATAATACACCTGTAAGTCCAGGGGTGATCAACAACATCAAATTATATAAAAAGGAGAAAATATTTGGCTGAACCTGAAATTGAATCTGGGACCCCTGAATCACTAGTCAGGTGCTCTATCCAAGCTGATATCCACGGCTCAAACCATTACATTCCTTCTTCCTTAAATTGTCTTTACACTCAAAGACACAACCCAATTTCTTGTTTCCCACTGGCAGAACTTTCACCTGCAAGTCCAGGGATGGTCAGTGGCACTAAATTTGTAACAGGAAAGGAGAAAATATATGGCTGGACCAGGAATTGAATCCCAGGACCCAGTCCGATATCCATGGCCCAAACCAGTACATTCCTCCCTCCTTAAATTGTCTTTCTTTGAAGATACAAACCAAGTTCTTATTTGTTCCTGGCAGAATCAAGGGGTGGTCAATGGCACCAAATTATGTAACAGGAAAAGAGAAAATGTATGGCTGGACCAGGAATCGAACCCGATACCCTTGCATCACTAGGGAGGTGCTATACAACTGAGCTACCCAGTCCAATATTTGTAGCCCTGACCATTATATAACTAAAAGAAATATTTAATTCCAGGACTTTGCAAGGCAGGTGATCTGGTTTTACACACTAAGGGCAGTCAGTTGAAGAATAAGGACAAAGAGAAAGCGGTCAATTTAAGTGGAATAGAAAGTTCAAAAGTTAGTCTGTTGATGCTGTACACCATTGAATCAGTTGCTGCTGGTAGCCATAGAGTGTTGATGTATCAGGGGGAAAATGCAAAGGAACAAGTCAATGGAATTATCTCAATCACAGGTAAGTGCCTCATTCACAATGTCTTAAATTGTATTCATAAAAAAAATGAGTTCTTGAATATTGTAGATCATACTGAGTAATAAAGAATCAAAAAATCAACTGAAAAAGGAAACGTAATTATTCATAAAATTAAACATTTCATACTGTAGGTCATGTCTTATTCTTGAGAACTTGCAATTTCATAAGATTAACTCAACACAAAACAGTTATCTTGAATAATAAAAGGAATGAATTTTCTATTGGTTGAAATGGTACTGTTTTTTATAACCTCACAGATAGGGAGATAGTGGGACAGGAGTTTCCCCTCAGTATGGGCTGGACCCCAGAAGATCTAGAACAGCTAATTCCATATATACTGGCAGTCCATCTTCTGCTTGACGTAGCCAGAATCAAAGAAAACCAAACACTGCTTATAATGCCCCCTATTGGTAATGTACAAAACACTGCCACCTGAAGACTAGAAACAAAATCTGTAGACTACCTGTTGATAATCCATAAAACACTGAATATATACTAACTCTGCAAGTTTACAAAACACTGCCCCTCTTTGTAAACTTAAAACACCTGTTGAAGTTATATTTTCTTTCAGATACCTTGTGTATATACTTGATGGCAATAGCAAATGAGCTGGAGGTCAGTATATTTACATCCAGTTTTGATGCAGAGATTCGCAATGTCATCAGCAATCTGTTCCCCTACGTTAGGGTTGTGGCTGGAGAAAGGTTAGAACAAAATATCAAGACCCTAACACAAGGAGAAGGCTGTGATGTCGTCATCAAGTTCACTAGTGCAGGTTTGTATCAAATTTACGGGGTTGGGGGGGGGGGGGTCACAGGAATTATTTGCTTGTTTTGGAAGTGTATGTCCACTCATATTTAGATCACCTGGTGAAGGACTAGAATCAACAGCCTTGGTAAGTAAAAGAAAAAGGGAGGAAAACCAAATCTTTCTTAGGGAGAGGCTTGTTATAGCCACATATATGTTGTACTGCTAAATCAGACTGTGCACTTAGCTAGAAAAATTATGAACACACTCTCCTGAAATCTCTTATTATGTATGAATGCATGATTTTAGCTTATAAATATTAATAAATTTAAATCCAATAGATCTTTGAATTAAAAAGTTGCAAAGGAAAAAAGGTTATGCATCTTTTCATCACTTAGAAATTCAGTGTCATATCATTCTTGAGCAAATTCCTAGAATGACAGCATTTTTTTTTAGCTCACCTCGATGAAGTTGCAGGTATTGTGTAATACCCTCAGCATCTGCGTTCCAGATTAAAGTTTTTGGAGCAGATTTCTTTTCAAGTACTTCAATGCCCTGTAGTAATCAAGGATGCATGGACAATGCTACTAGTAATTTCATTGTACCATTCAAGGTTTCAGATGCTGCAATTTTAGTGGAAGAATGACCATGTTAAGGTTAAAGTTTTTGGAGCAGGTCTTGTTTCCAAGTAACTATAACCCTATATTGACCAAACTTGCATGGATGATGCAGTTAATGATGCACACTACTGAACTTGCTACAGATGTTGGTTCAGACCTACATTTTCTGAATGAGTGACCAGGTTAAAATTTTTGAAACAGAGTTCATTCTTAAGTAACTATAAGCCCTATGTTGACCAAACTTGCATGGATGATGCAGCTAATGATGCACACTACTGGACTTGCTTAGGATGTTGGATCTGACCTACATTTTTCGGACGAGTGACCAGGTTAAAGTTTTTGGGCAGCTTCATTCTACAGTGATCATTAGCCCTATGCTAGCCAACTTTGCATTTAAGATTCATTTAATAATGCACACTACCAGAGTTGCTTCAGATGCTGGATTTGACCTACATTTTCCAGATGAGTAACGAGGTTGAAGTTTTTGGAGCAGACTCGTTCCAGTGTAACTTCCAAGCCTGACCTAGACCAACCTTGCATGAATGATGCATGAAAGGATGCACACTATCAGAGTTGCTGGATTTGACTTCCATTTTCTGGATGATTGATTAGGTTAAAGTTTTTAGAACAAATCCATTCCCAAGTAAATGCAAGCCCTGTCAGACTCAAAATTGCATAAATGTTGCAGCTAGGGATGCACACTACTAGATTATTACTTTAGAAATAAATATATTTCAGAAAAATGGTTTTCTAGATGATACTTTAAGTTTTCTTGAACTTTTGCAATGAAACCTAAGGTGATCACTCTCTTTAACATGAGATGTGCCAAAAAATAGTAATAATCAAGATTACAAAATCATTTATGGTTTGAACCTATAAATTCTGTGAATATATAGTTTGACATTATTTAATGTTAGTTTAGCTACTGAAAACTACCTTTTGTCATTGATAAGCTTGATATCATTAATGGTTTCTACAAAGCACATGTTAAAGCAAGTAAATGTTCTGACTTCAAGAAGAGAGTGAATCTGAATTATTACTTTTTTTTTCACAAAGAGTAAAATATCACTATCAGCAGGTTTATGTTTTGGTCATAAATTTGTCGTAGAGCAACTTGAACATAACCACATCACACGTCGCACTTATGTGGCTCAAGTCTTAGAGAAATGCTTCTGATACTCAGGTGACTGTCGAGGCACCTGGGCCTCTTCTCTGTACATCTTTGATTGTTGTGGATGTGAGATATGTTTAAGCTGCACATTTCATTTATTCCTTGAAATCTATTCATTACTCCTTTGTAAACAATTTGAATATAGTTATAGAATATAAGGTTTCCTAAGATGGTTGTGGATTCCTTTCACATTTCAGATTTCCAGTCGGCAATTAATCTGACATCAGCCAATGGTAAGTTGATCTGCTGTACACTGCCCAGCCCCCGGGAGGAGGTCGTTCTCACCAAGGACTGCTCCCTCATCGTCCCTGACCTCTCCAAGGCTGTTAACAGCTATATACAGAAAAGTCCTCAGGAAATCCAGCTATATCTCTACAACATGCAAAATGGTTCTGTTGCAGAGGTATCTGTGGGTTTTTTTTTTTCATTTATTCTAAATACTATTGATATGTCAATGCAACAGAAAAAAATCAATATTGGAAAAAGAGGAAATCACAAAACTTAGAAATAATATGGACAATGTCTTAAGGAAGCTCTAAACACCAAGGAAAAACTTAGTTTTTTACTTTGAGAACATTTTATCATATAAACATGTACATAATGAGTTTATCTCATTCATTTTCAAGATAAAGTACATATCTGCCTTATTCCCCCAGGAAAATTGTTTAAAGAGAATGGAGTTTTTTGAATAGAAATCACTGTTGTTAACTTACATTGGTAATTATCTTGTAAATACTGTATTCAATTACTTTATCTTGGTCTAATCTAATGTTAAGAATACTTTAGAGTATTTCAAATTGTAATTGATTCATGTTTAATATATAGTAAGTCTAAGGGCAGATCACTCTATCTGCATAAATCTACCTTAGGATTATAACTCTTTAGTATGCAGTGTTTAGAGCTTCCTTAAAATCATAAACTAAGAACAGACTAGGTCATAATTTCAAATTAGTATAACTTTTAAAATAGCATTGAAACTAAACAAAATTTATCATAAATACATACCGTATAATAAGTAGAAATTTTGGCATTTTTAGTGAGGGTGTCGAGATCGCTAAAATTAAATATCGCTAACAATTTATTCTGCATTAGAGGTAACCTTTATCTTTCTATGCACCATAAAATGGCTAAAAGTACTTCTGGCTAAATTAAATACTGATTTTTTAGGGCAAATCGCTAAATTTGCATCTCAGTAAAAATTCCACTTAAAACATTTAGGGAAAAAAATCAAGATGCTCAGAATCTACTGACTTAAGTCTGATCTCAGTTTATGGTCTTTGGTCTTGAATATTTAAATTGGTGTTACAAGATGTTCTTAATTAAATTTATCTTTTGGATTTAGATGTCTAGAGAGGGCTTTCCAGAGGTCCAAGGACTGAAATATGTCTTGGCTGATCGTTCAAATTTCACGTGCCCTGTGGAGCTGACTCAAGTTCTGTCAATCATTGAGGACCCCATTGTGAATCTGAGTAACCAGGGTATAGCGGAGATGATGGAAGCTGATGCTATTGCAATGCATAGGTTACAGACTGCAATTACAACAAAACCCAAAGTAAATACTAGAAATTTATAGGGAAAATATTTTCAAAATTAAATTAAATGATTTTCTTTTTGCAACTCTGTGTCCATTATTTCAGACAAGGCATGCAGGGTAATTAAATATTACAGATGCATTTGAAGATTTGTATGCAATGCACACTTTGTCTTCTGATGTGCTGTGGAGTCTTATTCATTTGTGGGGGGCCAATTTTGTGGATATTAACTATTTTGTCTATAATTGGGAGCAGCAATGAATCTTAAGTAACTCACCTCACCTCAGTGAAGTTGAGGGAGGCTATGCTGTACTCTAGGCATCAATTTCGGTTTTGATCTGATGGCATGTTTAAAAAAGCAATGTGCCCTGTGCCAAAATTATGAAATTCACGACTCCTAAATTCAGGGTTCAGGCTCTATATGCTGGCAAAGTTGGTCGTTTATTAAAAATACATAATATTAAATATTGTATTCATGGTCAATGACAAGGGGGGAAATGAAAGAAGTCTTGAACACAATCAAATTATATGTAACGTAATAAACACCATAAAAAAATCTTCTTTTTTTTTTTTAATAAATGGTCATTATGTCAAATTTCCAACGCTGTAATCTATCAGTGGTCAGAAATCTTTATATCATATACCTAGTAATGTATCAGCCCTGATACAAGCATATTGGACTAGGTGAGACAGCATCTTGGAACTAGGGCTGTCTCGCTCTCAGGGCTGAGATATCTCTGTCTCTGCCCATTGTCAAGAGGCTGTCTCGCCCTCAAATTTTAATCCTTTATTTCTGTTTAATATGTGTGAATTATGAGTAAAATTTGTATTTAAGTGTTAAAGAAGTATATTTTGTACACTAAAATTACATCTGAATCTTTAAAAAATACTTATTTATGCTAAAACATTTAGAAAACTGTTTTTAAAAAGTGCGCCAAATGATGGTACTTGTGACGTAAGAGAGGTAATTATTGTTTACTGAGAACATATCAACGTATCATGTTTTCATAGAAATAGACGTTAATTTGCTTTGACAGTAAGACAATATCAAATTTTCTCTTAATGTGTATTTTTTAAAGTTTAATATCTGTTGAAAGCAAAACAAACAGTTTCTATCAACCTTAGGCTTGTATAAAATTAATGATTCGTAGAACCCAGTTCGATCCAATTTAAGTGAAAGTAGAGATATCTAAGGCTACCGGTACATAAATTTGAAATTACGGTTCTCAGGCCAGCGCACATTCGTTTTGAGGCAGCTGCATTCCAAATTTTATCGTATTTTTGATAAAATAAATAGTTGTAATGCAGAGACCAATCAGGAAAAAAAGTTCCGCCCTCAATTTCTCGTACTTTAGTACTCGAATATCGCTTCCAGTAGCCATTTTCACAGAGAACTTGGCTACTTCATTTAAAAATACACTGGAAGGTAATGCCTACAATGTTCACACGTTGATAATGATGGATAATGCAAACCTATTGATCAGACATGGAAAGTATATCATGAACAAAGAATTTTTATCATAATTGTATCAAAAATTCGGTTATTACAAAAATACCTCCCTCATCTACTTTATTGCCAGTAATATGATTAAAAAAAATGTCTCCCACCCGCATCTGTTTTGGAGAAAATTGGCTTGAGAACCATAGAATTAAATTTATGTTGCCTAAAGGTTAAAAACTTTTACTCTTTGTAATCTAATGGGCTTTGGAAAGTAATATGTTTTAAAACACCTGTACTAATCTTTTTAATGACAAAATCAGAAAAATTCTTTATCTGGAGAATTAATCAGCTTCGACAAACAACATCTTAACCTACACTGGCTACAGTCCTAACTTGATGAACGTGAAAACAAAGGACAATAACTAATTATACCCCAAAAACAAGTTGCGTGAGGTATAATGTTTTTGACCCGTCAGTCAGTGTGTCAGTCAGTCAGTCCGTTAGTCCTGTTTTTTCAGTGCAACTCCTCATAAACCGCTGCACAGAATTTCTTCAAACTTCGCAGATATTTAGGACACAATGTGTAGATGTGCATATTACCAGGAAATTCCGATTCCTTTATTATACCCCACACAACAAGTTGCGTGAGGTTTTATGTTTTTGACCCATCCGTCAGTCAGTCAGTCCGTCAGTCCTGTTTTTTTTTTTCAGCGCAACTCCTCTTAAACCGCTGCACAGAATTTCATCAAACTTTGCAGATATTTAGCACACAATGTGTAGATGTGCATATTACCAGGAAATTCCAATTCCTTTATTTTTCTGGGAATTTCGGCACTTTTTAACTTATATTTTTGGCCATATCTTGAATATAGAGATGAACAGTTTGTCAGCACAACTCCTCTTAAACCGCTGCACAGAATTTGGTCAAACTTTGCAGATATTTAGTACACAGTGTGTAGATGTGTATATTACCAGAAAATTTTGATTCCATTATTTTTGCCTTAAGAGTTTTGCCTATTATTGAAGAAACTTTCCAGCTAGGTAATAAGGAAATCCACTGGAATCAGCTTTTGTATTGAAATTTTATGTGAAATATTTTATGACCTTAAAAGACCCCTATTGATTATGAGATCAAAATATTAATGATTTAACACACACACACACAAAATCTTGGACAGTTCTCATCCCCCTCCCCTTCAAAATTGGTGCTTTGCCTTAAATAATTTCATAAGTACAGTATATAAACAAATTCATATGACTACATCATAATTTTGTTTCCATCAATTATTTAAATGTGTAAATTGTCATGTGTTGGACATGGACTTACACTCATTAACAAATCAAAATCACTGAGGAATTTAAATAACAGTTTGTCACCATAACTCCTGCATTGAATTTCCTGAAAGTTTGTAGGTATTTCAGACATAATGTACAGATTAGTTTATTACCAAGAAATTTTGATTCCATTATTTATCTAGAAACTTCAGCCCAATTAAATTTGTAACATACAAAGATTTGAATGTCCTCATATGCAAGAAGTTTTGATGTGATGATGTTTTGCAAGTAATGCCTCTTTTTGAATTATACTGTGTATTTAAAATGCACTGCGCCATTCATTACGTGTTGCATTGTCAAGTTTTGGGGGAGCGTGGGGTATGTGAGCTTGCTCACTTTTTCTTTCATTTATTTCTTGCGACAACATTCAAATTACTTTCTATTTTTTCTTTTATTTCTTTGGTTATAGATATTTGATATAAACAACATCACACCACTGTTTTGATCTCGTCCCTGGTATCAACCCTTGGATGGTCTCTGCCCATGCCCTCCAGGCTTGGGCCGATACCATCCGCTTGGGCTTATACCAGGGCCGAGATCAAAATAGCAGTGTGATATTGTATATATCTTTGTTTTCTTGTAGGACTTTTTACTTCTTGCAAATGATAGCTCAGACAAGGAGAACCAGTTTGACAGCTTTAATCCGCTGAATATCGCACAGGTACCTACACCTACACCATCTTCAGCTGAGGCACGTGATGAAATCAAACTAATTTATCTGCCAGAGGTGGATCTCCAGGACTATGATGAAGTGTTTCACATGGCAGCAGATGAGAGAATTATTCCTCCCCTGCGAACACCCATCATCACTATCACAGATGAGACTGACACAGGGTCAAAAGTCATAACCTCTACTCCTATGCATGGATTGGCTGCTGATCAGAGAGAAAATCCTGGCTTGGCAAAGATGTTTCCTACTCCCAAAGAGTAAAGATTTTGATTTAAACTCATTGACTTACCTGAGCTGTACAACAGGGATGGGGTAATCGTAATCGATTGTAATGATTACTTTTTTTCAAGTAATCGACAGTAATCTGTAATCGAAGAGATTTTCGATTACTTGTAATCGTAATTTAATCGATTACAGCTAAAATTTTCAATGTAATTATAACTACTTTTTCGATTACTTTCGATTATTTTATACATAAATGGATATTATTTTGGAGAATTATTTCCAGTCAGTCACACATAAATATCAAATATAAACCAATGTCAAGCTCACGCGTCGGTTGACAATGGTTTTCCTTGGGGTGTCAATTTCAACTGTTACCCTCAAAAACGTGCACTATTTATATAATATAAAAGTACCTAATTTCTTAGGCTATTCCAAGTCTGAGGCAGTAGAGCTACAGTTTTGTATAACTTGTGTAATTGATCTTTATACACTAATTTGACTAATTTGATGAATGTTAGCTGATGTAAATCTAACTTAATGTCCTTTCATTTCAGACCCAAAGGGAGAATGGCTCAGTTAACTATTCCCAGGTTAACAATTCCTTCTGCAATCTCCAGCTTCAAGAAAGGTGCCAAAATGAGCCTCATAGTGTATCCGACACCAACACCTCTCACCTTTACCCCGGCTCTTAAAACACTACTGACACCACAAACAAGTGAACCTACCATTGTGCCTCTTAATGATGAGAAAAAGCAGCCAGCATTGTTTTGCATTCATCCTATCACTGGTTTGTATGCATGAACTGTCTGTGGTACACCTTGATATATAAATATAGTTTATTAGTTTTTAATACCTTGAGGATGTTGGGTTGAGCTGATGCTATACCCCCGTTGGCATCCCAGGTTAAAGTTTGAGAGGCAAGTCCTTTTCTAATTTATTCTTAAGCCCTATTCTGACTAAATTTTCATTGATGATGCATCTAGAGATGCAAATGACTTGCTTCGGATGCTGCACCTTACAGTTTGGTGACCAAGTTTTTGATTTTTGGAACAGTATACCCATGTAACTACAAGCCATATCCGGAACAAACTTCCACAAATGATATGTCTTATGATGTACTTACTAAATATGCTGCAGATGAATATGGGTTCTCATTAATACAAAAATTCCCAGACACCAATATGCTCACTATAATTGATCACAAGTAGCCTTTCACAGAATTTTCCCTTCAAAACGGAATCCTTTGCCACATGAATTTGAAGCGTAATCACTTTTCAAGATGATTTACACCTTGTGTAATTTGTCAAAATCTATGACGAACAGTTAGTGTAATATTTATATTCGATTGTCCATCTCAAATGTATATATAAGTAATAAATAACAAGTTTAAAAACCTTCGGCCTTCACAGGATTTGATCATGTGACCGACCCACATCATTTCCCAATGAAGTTTTTAAACTTGTTATTTATTTCTTAAGTAAATACAAGTCCTATTTTGGACTGAATTGGTATGGATCCTGAATTTAGTGATGCTAATTTGGTCTTAGACTTTGCAATACCTATAGATAACATATGACAAGGCGAACATTTTAGTCTTTGATTACCTATATTTTAATTTTCAAAATGGGCTTTTTGTGCCATAAATACATTGAGCTTTTAGTTTTGTTTTATAAGGTAAGCTAAAACTGCTGAAAACCTTAGGGAGTTTACTTCAGTACCAATGTTATGGGATACAAAGAACACATATTACTCCACAAGATTCTATTCCAAGTGTGGCTAGGTAATTTGTCTCTTTTTCTCTGATTGTACATGTATATACCAAACCAATTCACAACTACTAATTTTCTAGGCAAATCGTTGGATTTACAAAATGTATTTCTAAAGCATGGGGTAGATAGTTTAACAGTCACTTTGCAGTGAAATTTGTTTCTTATCACAACAATGCACTAAATTTGCTACATTTTTAAAAAAATTGGATCACCTCAAAGTTTAATTTTCTCGCCAAAACTAGCACATCTTTTTTTTCAATTTTATCTAATTTATCAGTGAAATAATTACTGTAAATATATTATATTTAGCATGTACGATATTTAGCGGAAATTGATTTTTGAACACAGCGGTTTTGATTCAGCACATTTCTTAATGTTCTTATTTATGTATATACATGTATGTAGCGTTGTACTTGGATTAGCGGATGTTTCTTTCCGACAAAAGCGCTAAAAAGAATACACAACCAAATGTAATACATTTACAGTAATTTAACAGATTATTGTCGTATAAATCTCTCATTGTGAATACTTCATTTTCCAGTACTTTAAAGCATGAGGATTAACAGATTGTAGTTTGGTCAAGAATTGTGTAAATGATTTTAGCTCTGGAAAGAGGATCAGATATATTAATTGTTTTGGATCATCAACACTGTTATGTTGTTGTGACATAACATTTGTTTGACATTTTATGTATTGAACAGAAATGTTTTTCATATACTTGCAGCTATTACAAGAATGCAGTGCAGATGTACCAAGAGAATGACCCTTACTTTCTGGTTGGATATTCATTTGGTTCGTTCATCGCAATTGAAATGGCAATTCAGTTTCAGGAACAAGGGTCAAAAGTGAGTATCGGTAATATTGTTTTGTCTATGAAGACTGCTTCTAAATGAGTTTATGAATTTGACAAAAAGTTTGAGGCTGACTTTGATGTAATTGTATTTTTAGATAGGATGTTTGATTCTCCTTGATGGAGGTCCATCTTACTTTCACAATCAGTTCAGCCATGGAATTCAGGCAGCTTCAAAAGAAGAGGTGAGTGAATAAAGCTCACACAGGACTAGTATGGGACTAATAGGGTGTCCAGTTTTTAACCGGATTTTGCATGTGTGTTATTGAAATGGTGAAAATGGTGGGTGGGCAAATGTTAATGTCACCCATTGCTGTCAAGCACATGAGGGAGCTGTCGTTAATTCCAGAGATTATTGGGATGTGGCATCTAAATTTATTTCAAGTTTGTGCTACATAATTAACAGAAAATCATGAATAATGATGGAACCCTTTCCAAGGTGCCAAGTTTTGCCATGATTAATTCCCATGGACTATGAATTTGACACCATATCAATACACTAGTTCAACTTGAAGAATCGTTTCAAGCAGAAGTTTTTTGGAGGAAAAAATGATCTATTGATCAAATCTAGTTTGAAGGCCAGGGTATCTATGTTTTTTGAGATAAAATGCAAAAAGTGATGAAGTCTTGGGACAGACTATAGGTAGATTGTGCATAGTCTGCTCAAGTAAATCTGCAGGGGCTACTGTAAGGTCACAGTAGGGTGTCTATTTAACATAGGAATTTTAAAAAAATCTTGACGTTGCATACATTTCACAAATCCAATTTGATGAAAAGATTTTTTTTTTTATTTTGAACCACAGGATATGGACTATTTGGAGTGTGGGGCTCTCATCAACTTTCTGCAGATGTATGCAGCTGTTCCAAGTTCAAAACTAATTCTGCAGATCCTTCTCTCCTTGAAGACTTTGTCAGAGCGCATTGATCTGATCTTGGATATGACTTTTGGACGTGTAGTTGTCAGGTATTAGGATACATTTTAACATGTTGCTGAGCAAAAGGCATAAATTGCCATTTTGATTTGATTATTTTATAAAGGAATAATACTTATTTATCCCAGTGGGAGTTATGTTCTGTATCAGAGGGTCATTGAACCTTAATTCATGTATTCACATGACTGTGTTCAATCCCTTAGATTTACAACTTGAAAAAGATTTCAGTTTTGCATCTAAAACTCTTGGGCTTTACTGCGACTTATTGTCAATGGACAACTTTCTGTAAAATACATACCTTAGTCTATATACCAATATACATTGATTTTAATGGAATTTTTAAGACAGCTATCGATGCATTTAATTTACATGTACATTTATATATGCTAGTCATTAAAGCCCAACCTTTAAGAAATTTAAGATATGTGAAATTAAATGCTTGGAGTATTAGTTGAATATTCTCGAAAAGTATGGCAAAGGTAAAAATCAAGTGGATTGTAATGCTGGTATTTTTCTAAATGTCTTATGACAAGCAGTACACTTGCTAAATATAGCTCAGACTGACCTCTCAGAGGTCATCAAATATAGAGTATATCATCATTTATGAACTAATTTAAATAGCAGGTGAGGTTCAAGGTCATGAGGTCAGTAACTCTGTTTGAAGAGCAAGGATATGTAGTGATTGGAGTTTCTGTCTGTCCATACATCCATTAAATTTGGGGTTACCAGTCTCCTGTCCACTCCTCCTATACTACTGAATAGAATTTAATGAGACTTTCCAGAATCTTTTACACAGTGCCATTGTGTACCTTCTATTTTGTGTTAGGATTAGTCATATATTTGGGGGTTTCTTATAGCAAAACATGGACACTGCCATTTGTTCTATAATATTGAGGGTACCCATCTCTTATCCACAACTCCTACTATATCACTGAAAAAAAAAATTATTGAGACTTTCCCAGAATCTATTACACAGTGCCATTGTGCACCTTCTAATTGTGTTTTCATCTGACAGATATTAATTTTTGCTTTCTCATAGCAAACCATGGACTTTGCCGTTATACATTAGGTAGTTAAGGAATATCATTTTACGAGCATGGTGCTCACAGTACCTCTAGTTTTTTTTTTTAGCACAAAAGTCATTGTGCTAAGCAATACTTGAGAAAATATACCTCTTACAGTTTTTATGAGCATTGTATCCTTAAGGCCTCTTTGTTTTAGATGTTAAAAAAATTACAGTTTCACAACTCACCTAATTTTTGTGAAAATAAAAAGTAATATATCCTTAACAGTCCAAATCCAGCAAAATCAAGATGGCTGATTGCCAAAGAAAAACTGAAAATGAAGGGCCTTATGACTCCTACTCGGATGTATGGCTTCAGTGATGCAGCAGAAGAACTGGTTCGTTTGAAACGAAAGGAAGCTGCCAAGGATTTTGTAACCAGTGTTAAGATTGGGTACAAATACCGCAGTACAGGACAAAAATTCAAAGGTTTGATTCTTTCTAGTGTTTCAACAACATCAGGTTCTTGACATTGTTAAAAGGGTAGTATATTTTACAGAATGTACTATTATGGAGTTTTGTTCTTTCTAATTAACACTCTGCATGATCTTTTATGTTGGTGTCTGATAGTCATCACCATGTCCATCTTTTTGACAACTCTTTCAAGGTCACCAAAGTCACTAAGCAAACTTTTGCTCTCTGTTTTTCGTCTGTTCTTGGTGATGTCAGCAGACTTTTTAACCCCACCAAACAAAGGAGGGGGGGGGGGATAGGAAAAACTTTGTCCATCTGTCTGTGAAATTGTGTCTGGACCATAACTTTCTAATGTAGAAACATTGGAAGCTCACACTCATACATCACGAAGATTACTTATAACCTGTGAAAATTTTATTACCTTTGATCTAAGATCATTTGGGCATGTTCAAGGTCACTGGCAGAAAAAAAATCCATCTTGGCTATATCTTGTATGAAGAAGTTCAAGGTTATTGGCAAAAAAGTATAAATTATGTCAAGTCTGTAACTTGGTAATGGAAAAACATTTGATGCAACAATTGAAAGAATTTACAGTAGGGGGTATCAGTTTGTAGGCACACTCTCAGTACCTCTAATTAGCATTTCTTTGGAATCTATAGGTACCGAAGCAATGTCAGCTAAATTTGTAAATTTCATGAGACTTTTCCTCAACAGGAAATAAATATTTAAGATTTTCTTTTTACAAAGAATTCAGAAAAGCCTGACAAACTTGCCAAGAAAGTATTTTAAGAAATAGTTGTTGTTTGATACTCAGGTGACTGTTAGGGCCTATGGGCCTCTATCTAAAAAAAATTGTGTGGTTATTTTGTAATTCCCAGAAGTATCTCTATTCTTCCCCCCAGAAAACTTTAATACCTTTTAAATGGAAACAGTTCTTTATCAAATTGCAAAAGACATTATGCATGAAATTTCTTTACTCTTTTAGGAGATATCCATCTATTGCGTATTAAGTCGGATCTCCCGCTCCCCAACCCCATTCCAATGGATTATGGGCTGAAAGACTGGTGCACTGGAAATGTTAACGTGCGGTTTTACAATGGAACACATGAGTCGTTTCTTAATGATGTTGATGGAAAGGCCGTGGCAAAGGATATCATGGAGATTGTAACAGGCTGTTAGGGCTGAAACTGCAAAAATCAGAGGTGCAGTCCTCCTTAAAAATTGCTGAAGTTTGAACTAGCTTCAAAGAATCTTCAAAGTTGTGGATTCTTACAATACTTTTGTGAACACTGGAAAAAAATGAAGCTTAAGTTTAATTATGTACTAATTAAGAAGCATATAATTATGTATGTAATATTTCTACTTTATGCACTGGTGAAAAAGAATATTCTACAATATGTACATAAAAATATGTAAATATCATTAATATTTATTAAATGCTAGCTGATTGTACATCATTGTGTGAAGACTACTAGGTATGTTAGTGTATGAAAATCATTGGATGTTGATGCTTTTTTTGTTTTTTTGAAAGTTGCTTGTGTCCTAAAGTATTTCATTTAGTATTGGAAAAAATGACAGTTTAATGTCAATAGCATATACACAGAACCGAAAACTGAAATATGGCATCAAATGTATTGTTTCAGAATAAATTGTCATTTGCATGTGGAATAAAATCTCAGTGTTGTAAAAGAAATCACTAGACCTTGAACTTATAGCATTGTATTACCTAATCACATAGTAACATTTTATAATGAATCATTAAAAATATATTTGGGGTGGGGGTTGCTGTATTTTCAACTCAATTTGTGGTCATGAATGAATGCAAATGAAATGATTGCCTGAAATGAGGCAAATGTGCAAGTGAACTTTTCTGATTGAATGTCCAATCGATCTGCAGTCATCCGTAAACTTTCCATCTTCTCCTGAACCACCGGGCCAATATCTAGCCACATTGCACCCTTGGTTGTTAGGGAAGCAACATTCTTAAAATGAAGAGCCGTGCCCTCTTACAAGCTAAGAGTAGACAATTAAAAAAAGAGAAAATAATGGATAATTTAAAGATCTTTTCAAGAATTATGGGGCCTGAGAAAACAAAACATTACAGAAAATTTATTTAATGAAGATTTAAGACTGATCAAATAATGACTGCTGGAGCTAGGATGGGCTTGCAATAGGGGATTAAAGTTTGATATGAGATTACATTGGTTGGAAAAATAAAAATTTTGTCAAGAATAGTAAGTCCTATTGAAATGCAAGCATCTTCAAAGGTGCTCTTCCAAAATTAGAAGGCTGCATTGATCATACAGTGAAAAAGCAGTAATTCTTTAAAAATCTTCTCTGCTCCTGGGTACTTAGCAGGCAAGCCTAAATGCATGATTGTCAGGAGTGAGGGTACCTTCTCTATAATTGCTGAATTCATGGCCTCTGGGTCAGAGGTTCTGGAGTGAGGTTGCCCTCTATTGATTTTGGAGTGAAAATGCATTAATTCTTTGAACATCTTCTATGCTCCTTGGTATTTAGCAGAAAAATTAAGTGCATGGTTACGATGAGCAAAGGTGCCTCTTCCAAAATTGTGAAATTCATGGCCACTTGATCAGGGGTTCTGGTTTAGGGTGAAGGCCTATTGATCATATAGTGAAAATGCATCAATTCCTTGAAAATCTTCTCTGCTCCTGGTTATTTAGCAAACATGTAACTAAGTGGTTATGATGAGCATGAGTGCTTCTTCAAAAATTGTTAAATTCATGGCCCCTTGGTCACAGGATCAGTTTAAGGACTCGATTATAATCATGTATGGAAATTTTTACTCTGTTTTCAGAGAAGTTATTCCCCTTTGTTACCTATCATAATTTATCACTAAATATTGTAATTGAGAACAAATATTTTTAATGTTTACTAGTATGTAATGGTTTGGGCCGTTAACCTGATAGCTCAGTCGGTAGAGTACCTGACTAGTGATGCAGGGGTCCCAGGTTCAATTCCTGGTCCATGAAACACTCTTGTTAGCTCAGTTTAGGTTTTTGGTGCAGTTTTCTTTTGAAGTACTTCTATGCCCTAGATTGATCAGACATGCATGGAAGATGCTTTTAGTGTGTTTCTTTGTACCAGTCAAGGTTTCAGAGGCTGCAATTTCAGCAAAGGAATGACCAGATTAACATTTATGGAGCAGGTTAAAGCTGAACACCACTCATAAAGGGCATTGTCCGCCATATTTCTATTTCATTGGCGCTATCCCAACAACCCATATATAAGTCAGAGACCTTTTAACAGTTCAAAGTATTACGCTGTAGAGGTCTCAACTGAGAAGACGTACATCTTGCATTGCCGTATTACTTGGTCGCAATGAAATTATCAAATTTTACACACTTTTTCCGAGCCAGGGGAAAAGTAACATCAAATATACAAGTCAATGCATTATTTACAGACAGAAAATGCACATAAAACAAGGAATAAACTCAAAAAAATCTAAGACCACGAAAGGAATACTACATGTCGGCCACGAGTTTCAAGTGTGCAATCGGGTGTAACGAAATCAAAGGGTTTATATACCTGTGTGGAGGTGCCTATTTCTGAGTAGTGTTCAGCTTTAACATTTTCTTGCAGGTTTAAGTTTTTGGTGCAGGTCTCATTTCTCTCATTTCCAAGTAACTAAAAAGCCCTATGTTGACCAAACTTGCATGGATGATGCATCTAAGGATGCATACTACCAGGCTGGCTTCGGATTCTGGATCTGACCTACATTTTCCAGATGAGTGAACAGGTTAATGTTTTTGGTGCAGGTCTTAATTCCAAGTAACTGTGAGCCTTATGATGACCAAACTTGAATAGATGATATGTCTAAGGATGCACACTTACAAAGCTTGCTTTGGAGGCTGGATCTGACCTACATTTTCTGGATGAGTGAGCAGGTTAAAGTTTTTGGTGCAGGTCTTATTTCTAAGTAACTATAAGCCCTATGTTGACCAAACTTGCATGGATGATGCATATAAGGCATACTACCAGGCTGGCTTCGGATGCTGGATCTGACCTACAAATTCCGGATGAGTGAACAGGTTAAAGTTTTTGGTGCAGGTCTCATTTCTAAGTAACTATGAGCCCTATGTTGACCAAACTTGCATGGATGATACATCTAAGGATGCACAGTTTTGGACTTGCTTCGGATGCTGAATCTGACCTACATTTTCCAGATGAATGAACAGGTTAAAGTTTTTGGAGCAGGTTCATTCTAAAGTAGGTATAAGCCCTATGTTGAGCAAACTTGCATAGATGATACATCTGAGGATGCACACTAATTGACTTATTTCAGATGCTGGATCCAACATGTATTTCCAGATAATGGACCAGATTAAAGTTATGGGGGCAGGTCTATTGCCAAGAAACTATAAGGCCTATCTTAACCAAACTTGCATGGATGATGCATCAAGGGAAGAACACTTTCAAACTGCTTCAGATGCTAGATTTGAATTACATTTTCTTGATGGTTACTAGTTTGAAGTTTTTGGATACAGTCCCTAAAACGTTCTACTTTCCCACTTGATGGTGAACGAACGCAGAGCGAACAGTGAGTGAACGATGTGTGAATGCTGAACACAACTTGGTGAACAAATGGTGAATGGTGAGCGAACGCAGAACGCGAATGCAAAGTGAATGGTGAACACAAGATGAATGATTTACTCAGAATGCCTCTGATCTTTTCCTTGCATTGAAACTATTCTATTGTATTCTAATGTCAGGTGCCAAAAATAAATAAATAAACAAGTCAATGAATAAATAAATAAAATAAATGCTCCAAAATTGTCTTAAGAAAAAGGATACATTCACATTAAATAAGACTATTTAAGTTTCTTACTTGTATGATGTTTAAATTCAAATAAAACATCTTAATTGTTACCGAATGCTGTAGTATTAAAGACAAATTATTTCAGTTGGAAAATAAATATGTTTATTCTTATTTGGTATAAAAAAAAAAAATTACAAATAAGAGAAAACTTCTGACTTTTGGATTGAATTACAACAGTTGTAACATCCATTCATATATTTCCGTGCTAAGGCGATTTCATGTAAAATAATGAAATTTTTTTTACAAAGGTCTGTGTATTTACATATTTCTGTATTTACAGAAGCATATTACGGCCGTAGCAGTATCTTTATTAATTTGTTTGAACAAATTATCAATTTGTTATAACAAATAATCAATTTGTTATAACAAATTACGAATATGTTTAACTTACCGGTAGTACCAGTAGTTCTAGATCTTTCTGTTTATTTTGCACCTTCTTCATATTTTACAATTGTCTTATTTCCTTTTAACGTAAAAGTACTCATATGTTTCTCACCTGTTAGTCGATTGACTTTTATAATCATTTGTTAGGAGAATAGTGATTCAAGGGAGTGTGGTGTATGGGCCTCTTGTTATGCCCCTGTAATCGAAGATCCGGGAGCATATAGTTTTTGCTCTGTCCGTCCATCTGTGTGGAAAAACGTTCACCTTGCACATAACTTTTCAATGGTGGGAGCTATGGCTTTCATACTTCATATACATGTGTATTCCTTGTGACAATTCCTTTCTTTGGGTACCAACTTATTTGACCATGGAGTTTGACCCACTTTTTACAAAATTTTACCAAAACTTTAACCTTGGTTATAACTTTTAAATACTCGAGCTAAGGCATAAGTACTTGAGTGTTTTTCTTGTGACAAGACTTTCTGTTGGGTACCAACAATTTTGAACTTTGATCTTGAGTTTGACCTACTTTTGAAAAACTTTAACCTTGGCCATACTTTTTGAATGATTGGGGCTAGGGCTTTCATATTTCACAGGTATATTCCTTGTGACAAGACCTTCCCTTGGGTATTATTTATTTTTACCCCTTGACCTTGGAGTTTGAAAAACTTATCCTTGGCTGTAACTTTGGAATGGCTAGGGCATGTATATTTCACATTGTATTCCTTGTCAGTTGTGACAAGGCCTTCCCTTGGGCACCATTTATTTTGACCTGGAGTTTGACCTACTTTAAACATTTAACCTTGGCCATAACTTTTGAACAGGAGGTGGCACGGCTTTCATTTTTCACAGGTGTATTCCTTGTGACCTTTATTTGGATATCAACATTTTTTATCTCTTGACATTGACCTAAGAGTTTGACTTGCATTTTTAGAAACTATAGCATTCACTATAAGCTGCAATACAGGGGCATTAGTGTTTCACAAATACATGTTGTTTACTTCTTGTGCATACCATAAATACATGAAGCAAAGAGTCCTTTGTAAATACAAGACTGTAACAAAAGATTGCATATGGCATAAATTTGGTTCATCTATAGGATATAAGAATGTTGATGTTTGACTTATAGGTCACCAAGGTTACTGAATTGGGTCAGGATATCCACAAGGTCCAAAGGGAAATTATACACACAAATTTCAATCTACATCAGAACATTTTTTTTTAAATTGACGAAGTCTGTCTGATTTCAATCCATTTTACAACTTCCATGAACATTGGCATTGAAGGATACCGTTTCATTGTACAGGGTGTGCTTGTGTTGGGGTGGGGGTGTTCATCCAAATTTCCTAGTGTATACCCCATAAAAACTTCAACAATTGGTACATGTATATTGTATACAAGGGGTGATCAAAAAGTTAGCAAACTATCTCTATATTTACAAAACCACAATTCAGATCGGAATGGAATTTGGCACACATATAGTCATATAATTTTTCTATAAACAGCAGATGTTAGGTGATGTTTTGCTCCATGTTTGTGACGTCGCAATGTGAAAATGATGTCTGTGTAGACGACTTGTGACAAAAAATGGTTGACTCGGTCGTACTCGAGCAACGAATGGCTGTAAAGTTTTTTGTATATCTTGGAAATTCCTTTGCAGTAACATATACTAATTTGTATAAAGTTTATGGAGACCAAAGACTTGCCAGAAATTCAATCATTAATTGGATTGATTGTTTTAGTGAGGGAAGGGAGATGATTAAAAATGTTTGTTCTGTTGCCTAGTGAAAGCAAGCTGGGGAAAAGTTGTGTCCTTAGTTGAGCAATCTGTAATGAAAGATTGCCAAGTTACAATTAGAAAAATAGTTGAATATCTTAACAATAATATAATTACTGAATCACTAAAATATTGTTTCCTTTAGACTTTAAACATATCAGATATGATACATGTAAGAAGAAGGTGCCCATACTTTATCCACATTGGATAAACGACGCTCCCAAGACAGAGGACTCGGGTTTTGATGGTCACCATACTCATTCTGGGAAAGGATATCCTTATCCACCCATCCTATTGACAAGATTTAGCCATTTCTGACAAATGGACTGTTATTGTTATAAAAAATAACTTTCATGGAAAGAAGTAAAAGACTCAGAAAAATCTTTAAGCTTCTGTTCTGTGAACAGAACGCTACAGAGCATGTCAAGTGCCTGCCTGCATCACATGATTTGCGCACGGGCAGAACGGTGGAAGATGTGCATTAAAATCAGAGAGGACTACTTTAAAAAATAATGAACACTGAAATCTAATTTTGTTTCTTTTAAGGAAGCAATTCAATTAGTTCGCGAACTTTTTGATCATCCCTCGTACTTACATGTATAGTTTTTCTAAGCTCAATTCATTTCACTGTGTTTTGAATTGGCAGTTTTCATTCTTTATTCTTTAAAAATGCAATGAATAATTTCTGGTTTTATTCTGTTGCAAAAGTAGCATGCAACAATAATGCAGCTGTAAACTTAGATATTTAAAATTGGAAAATGCAACAGTAAAAGGTATTTAATATACATGTATTCAACTTTGTATACAACAAAAATAATAAAAATACACAGGAAAAAGATGGCAAAAAAAAAAAATGGAAAATATGCAAAAATTTTGCTTCATTTGTTAAAAAACTCAATACAATTATTTTTTAAGTGGTAAAAGATAAAGAATTTTTTTTACCACAGGCTGGTAAATTTTAAAACCTATAAAAGATTTGTAAATGAATATCTTTTGTAATGTAATCTTATGGTTTTTCAAACCAAATGCTGAACAACTCCAAAGATACGTCACCTGTCCAACACAACTCGCCAATTTCAGGACAACTCAACCTCAATTTTTGCGTTTTACTTAAGGTTTTCAAGACTTTTCCCTAGTAAAAAAAATCATTATCATTTTCATTTTACAAGGTTAATTTATTTTAAGTTTTAATGTTCCTGTAATACAGTACCTGGTGAAAGTTGAATGAATTAACAAAGATTTCTCTTTTATTGATGATTAATACCTCATTTACATGTATTAATAACCTTGTTTTTTTTTTTAAAAAAAAGGCATATTTATAGTTATTTTGCAAACAGATCAGCAATAAAATGAAAAATAATATTTACTATAATTAGATTTATAAATGTGTATATGAAAATATTGAGGAGAGCTGTCTGAAGGTGAGTTGGGGGCAAGCTGACTTGGACTGACTTGAAACTTTTACCCAGAAAGAACACATTTTAAGCTCACATTAAGCTTTTCAACATACCATAAAGGTGAACTTTTTGTATAGGTAACTTTTTACTATGAAACTCCACAGTTTGGTAGAATTTTTACACACTTCTTCGTAATGGCACAGAAAACGAGGTTAATAACTCAAATAACGGAAAGTAAACTCAATATATACATATATAAATGTGTAATACTGCATATGTATACAATGTATATAATAGGTAAGTGAATATGTCATCAATGTTAAAACATATGTAGTTCAGTAATAATGATGTCATATGTAAGGTTGAATCTCATTGGAATCACAGATCATGATATTTTAGGTATTCCTTCAAGCGCACTGGCAGGTACAGGACATCAACTTCTTTGGAAATCACTTGTTTTCTGATAGTCATGCGACACAGCTGTTGTAAAGATGGAACATACAAGGGGGCTGCATAGAAGATTACGCCTCCCATCCGATCCCTATAACAAATACATACACTCTGTTCACATACTTTTAATTCTTCGTAAGAATCATAGAAATTAAATATGATGTATAACATTAAAGATATTTTTATAATACGATATTTCATAATACATGTAACAAGGTTCAACTTTTTTTGAAGTCTTTTGCATACATTCCTGTAATCTTTTGTCTTTAAAAAAAAACTGATTTTACTCAAAGAACAAACAAAACAAACCAGAAGACTCTGATGAGACTGTAGCTCTACTGGTTTGAACTTATTACTGTACTCTGAAATGTAACGAAGCATATGCATCCTACTTCGAACAGAAAGGAGCAGAATAACAAAATAATACACTGTAATGACAAATGATAGGTTACTGAGAATTATGTCTATCATTTTTTGTGATAGTCCCTACTCATCTTGTCAATATATTAAAGAGCTACGTGTATTTTGATGACTTACACTATCAGGTTTATCTTGCTCAGAGAGGAGAGGTGTCATGATTCTTAAAATGATTTTCCAACTTCATGTATTAATAGTAGCTCATTACTGTTCAAGACTTAAGAAATATGATTATGGAACATGAGTGCCCTACCCCAAGGTATATTTGTATTGCAATATCAAAGGAAAAGAGCCTTATTTCTTCAGTCTGAGCTAAAATTGTTAATTATGTTGAAAAGGAATGATTTTCATTTTTTTTTTTCATGTAGAACTGACACGTTTACTACAGTTGTTCAGTTAATGCCATTTGTAGCATCAAATGTACCCAATGCTAATTCATCAAATATATATATATATATATATATATATATATATATATATATATATATATATATATATATATATATATACCGGTATGTGTGTGTGTGTGTGCTATAAAATGAGGTCTGGTTGTGTCAAGCTCATTATCTCCATTTGTAGCAAATTTTTATTACAATTTCACAATTATTATTTGATGTTGTCTTCACAGAAAGTTTTTTTTTAAAGTTAATACTTGGAATACACAGGCACATTTGAATTTGAAATGTCTACAAACAAAGAACATTAACTCATATGCTTCTTCATAAATGGAAATTACACTTTGTATATGAAATTTTCTTGCATCAGCTATAATAAGCTAATTGCATCATCTCCAAATTTGGTGTCAATTTAACCTCTGAAATTCTATTGTGGTTAAAATACTCTTATAAATTCATCTGTTTATGGAGATTTATGAAATAATCCTTTATAGAGATCAATAACATAAACTTTGAGCAAAATGATTGATTAACAAGTGATATTCAAAGACATGTAAAATGACAAATAGAAAGGCCAAGGTCATAGGGAAGGTCAAGGTCAGAAAAGACATTTAAGATGCAGTTGAAATGCCCTCACTAATCTGTAACTTTGTATAAGGTTTTATAATAATAACTAGAAAAGCATGGTTCAAAGTCAGAGAAGGACAAGAGGTCAAGGGCATTTGTCTGAATAAACCTTAACTATTTGTAAATGGGATGCTTCCAGACAGGTTTGGTCTGTAGTGATTAGTAAATTGAATACATGTATGGAAATGATAATGAACAACAAATGATATTAACAATATACAATGAATGACACATAACATACATAAATATATAAAATATCTATCAAGATATAGAGAGCCCTAAACATGTAGGACATCTTTGTTCAATCACTCACCCGACTGAGATTCGTTGATCCTGAGGAGAGAATGCACAACATAGTGCATTGTGATGTTCAGCTATGTACTGGGGATCAGATGGGTGCTCTAGATTCCACACTCGAAGATATCTAAACAACGAACATTTCTAAGGTCAATATTAAATTCATGCAAGGTTACAAATATTTTTTTCTAACATTTGATAATCAGATTCATTTAATTCAAGTTCACTCTATCAAAAATCTGCACAAATTAATCTGAAGTTCATGGGACTACAAAACAAGAGACTTTTTTTCTAAAGCTTAGATGACATCTTCATGCAGAATGTTTTATTTTAGCCAATAGTCTCCAAATGATGGTGTAACTGCTTAAAACTTTAAACTGCATAAAGTCTGGTTTAAACAAAACATGCTGTACAACCTACAATTGCTGTGCCATCGAGATTAAACTTACCCATCATCTGCAACTGAACACAACTGTAGTCCATCTCTACTGAAGGACACTCCTCGTACATAATGCTCGTTGGCCCCGCCAGCAAAAATCGGTCGGGGAGGAGGGTAGAGGTGTCTGAATTATAAAACATTATATGAAGTCCCTAAAAGCCCACAGGATTCAAATAAAATTGATGCCAATGTTGACAAAACAATGCCATATTTTTCTGACTCGTTTGTAATGACAATTTAATGAAAGTAATTTGGCAATAAGAAAATTTAGTCAAATTTGCTCAAAATACAGAATTCCAAAAAATAAATAAATAAAGAACATCTGCATCATGTCATGCATGGACAATTCAACTATAACTTTGCTAAAGAATTTTGTAGACCTTTGGCAAAAGTTAAGAATTGAATAATTATTAAAAAAAAAAAAGATCATAAAACATTATGATTTCATGTTAAATGTGGCATTTGATTGAATACATTAGAAAATTTGAATATTTTTAATTGATAAATTAAAGTTTTTGTTAAGATTCACTATTTGAGGATTTATTTGTCTACTCAGTGACATAGATCTGCCAAAGTGTGCCCACCACTTTTCTATTATTTTATTTTGTGGTAGGTTATCAAAAACAAAAGAAATTTACGATGCATGCTGCTCATAAAAATTTCATTTATAGTCATCTCATGTGATGCTTTATAAAAGGTGCAAGCAGAAACTCTGATGCAACCCTTTCAGAGTTAACTGGCAAAATTTATTCATTTATAAGTATAGATTCACAATTTTTAGTGAAATGAAAAATGATTATATGGCAACATTGGTTAATTTAGCTTTCATCATTAATAAGTTTCTCAGTTTTCTCTTGATAAAATGTTGCTCAAAAATATTGACTCTCAAACTAAAAGTCTAATGAAACAGACAGTAAAGTAGCTTTACTGGTTTAAATTAAATTTACACATGTAAAAGAATAAGAGAGGAGAAAAGATGGATTCTGACTTTTCCCTTTTTAACTTTTGCATTTTTAACTGAGAAGTGACAAACCATTTTCAGCTGAATCAGATAGGAAGGATGAACATTTTAACACGAATCTTAATGAAGTAGCATTTTTTTTTTCTATTTAAAACAACAGGTACATAGATAATGATAAAGCTTGATTATAAAAATAACTTTGTCTTGATGAATTCGATTCTGGTATTTGTATCAGATATAAGTCATTTCAATCAGATGGAAACTATAGAACATTAGCTACAGATGCAGACATACTGCTCAGAACAGAAGATACTTTCCCATGCATATTAAGTAACTGAGCCCTCACCCCAATTCTATCAGCATGTCCCCCGTGTAGGGGTCCCACACAACCACTCGGGTATCGTAACAGGCTGTAGCAAACAAGGCACTATCAGGAGAGAAGTCACATGACAGGATGTCATGGTAATGACCTCTCAACTGTAAAGGTTTATATGTGTCATCCATGTTCCAAATCACAGCCTACAAGTGTAATAAAAGATATTAAATATAATTTTAATCATGACAAAGAATTTGTGATATTTTATACCTATTTGATTAAAAATACCATTCCTATGCAAAACTTTACCAAAGAGGTCTTGGCTACTAAAACCATATTGGGTTTTCACACTAAAAATGGAACTTTTTTAATTAAAAAAAAAAAATTCAGAATACTAGCATAATTTTTGAGTGGAAGCATATGCAAGAATTAAACAGAATCAAGAAGTATAGTGAGCAAGCTAACAAAATCACCCCCCCCCCCCCCCCCCCAAAAAAAAATCTTTGCAGAGTATAAGTGCAAGAACTAGGTAATGTTTGATGACCTTGTCAAAATGATAAAGATCATGGTTTCAAAAAAAAAATTAATTTCATAAGGAACTCTCAAATCATACAGAAAATTTCAAGCATTCTTTTTTACAAAATTATATCCAAGAGACATAAAATTCACATTTTTCTCTAGCAATGGCATTTACCTTAACTTCTTAATTTGTCTTTGGTCTTGGTCTTGCCACATCTCTGGTCTTAAGATTATTTTGAATCATGTATTCACATTTCTTTACCAATTGTCTTGACTTAGCCTAAAATAAACCTGGTCTCTAGTCAACAGCAACTATTGTTGTCTTTCTACACCTGTCATGATCAAGACATATAAGATTTGGACAGACAGATGGACAGAGAGATGAGTTTTAATTGTTTATTGGGGATTGACCTACTGTATATTGAATGAGATTATAGCATCTTATATAACCTACCACTTTATTACTGCCCACACAGGCTAGGTATTTACAGTTATGTGACCATTTACAGCAGTTGTTCCACTTGGCTCCTGTTCTTAGAGTCTGATACATGTTGCCATCATCATTCAGATCCCACAACTTCACAGTGCCATCTCTAGCAGCAGACGCCATGATGAGTCTACCATCTGGAGCAAAACTGATTCCACGCACAACATCTTTGTGATCCAGTAATTCCAAAAGCAGGTTACCTGTTTGTATTGAATTCACACTCATCAATTTTTAACTATGTTTATTTTTATGCTAAATGATAAAATAAGCAGTTGTTTATTGCTTTCCCAATTAATTGTCTGAACAATGATAATTGATTGCAAATTTCAGATTTGTTAAAACTGAACACGACTCGTAAATAGGCATACGCCATTTTCGATATTACTATCTTCGATATCAGCTCCAGGATATACTCTTTGCATTCGTTACACCTGACTGCAGTATATATTGTCACGGGTATCGACGTGGAATGGCGACCCGTGCTCGTGCTGGTTATCTTGCATTACCTTTGTTTACAATTTATTGCAGTTACGTGTATTTGTGTTTGCTTGCATACTGCACTGACCTGTGCAACTGTTGTACGTCTCTTTGGTATCTTACTCTCCTGCATCAGAAGTACACAGTTATTTTGTATTGCTACCGAGTGCTGTATAGCATAGACGTCCGTCTAGACCAGTGACAATTGATTACACTGAACAGTGACTAAGTGAGCAACTCTATATATAGGGGCCCTCAGATAGCGAGAGTCCAATCGAATATGGCAGACAGATTCTTTTTATGAAGCATGTTCAGCTTTAAACTGAATATGTATGTACATAATATAGTGTTTTATTACATAGAATTTTCTTTGGGAAGTGTTCCAATTAAGTCCTAAAAATTCTAAATATTCTTAATTTTGTATATTCTGGATAGGACACGTCCATTGCAGGTTAACCCCTGGCGTAAGCTGTTATCCATTGCAGCTGGTTGGACTGAGACAATGTAGATAAAGAACCTTGTCTAAGGACACAAAACACATCAAGTGCCCACAGTGGGATTGAACCAGCAACTTTTGTGTTACCTATGACTACAGGACCATAAGCTCTATTGAATTGAATATATCTTGAGCTAATTAAAGCTCTTATGAACAATACTGAGAGAGCTTATCTTTAAGCATTTGAACAAATTGTTAAACTCATTTGGTTGAGAGACTCTGATACTGTAACCAAAAATCACAAAGATAAGGAATTCTAAATGTCTAATGCTTGAACAATATGCATATCTTTCAGAGAAATAAAACCTATAAACTTTTCCCTTTATAATGCTGACCTGTCATACAGTCCCAGAGCTTGATTCTTCCCGTCTGTAGACCTGTGGCCAGAATGGAGCTTGTGTTAATCTTCACTCTCTTCCAGGACTGACTATCATGCCTCTGTACAGAATCACCAGACCCAAAAGCCACTGACCACACATAATCCTTACAATCAATCAGAAATATAGGCCGCTCCTTCTCCTGTTCTGTATCTGGATCCTCCTCTTCATTCTCCAGAAAAATCTCTAAGTTATCTGCATCACTGGTGGAGCCACTAGAGTACTGACGAGCCCTCTTACTCCTATGAGAAGACATATTGTTTCTTGGATTAAGTTTAATGAAAAAACAAGGGAACATTCATTCACATTAATATGTCACTAGCTAGCAGTATAACCAAATTTACAATTATGCATTATAGCGAATCAAGAAATATTTATCATGTGTGCACCCTCTACCTCTTTCATAAGACCAACAAGTTTCACATCTAATGCCAAGGCACTCGTAAAGTGATGGTCACTTTTTTATGCACTCCAGACTTTTTACAGCATAAGTTTGTCTATGAAAAACATATTATACTCAAATACCAGTTTGGGCGTATAGCTGTTACTTTCTTGCACTATGTACTACTTACTAGAAAAGTATATATAAACTTATAAAATTAATCAAACATTTTTAATTCATGTATCACTTCAAATTTCATACTTCATAGGTACCACATAGTCATATATATATATAGCATAAACTGTATTCTCTATTAATATGGTTAGGAAGTAAAACCATTCCTTAAATGATATTCATTCAAGTTCATGTAAATAAAATACAGCATACAATCTTCCATTCTGTTTATCCCATGGAACAAGGCGGACAAATTTATCTCCACAGGACCACGCAAAATACGAGTTATCCTTAGACCAAGCACATGACCATGTCTCTAACCCAGGCTTATGAAAGGAAGACGCTCCATTGACAGGTTTTAGCTCGTCGACTGCACAGACCAGCTCTGTAGTGAAAAGAAATATTCAGAATTTCAATTTGTAATGCACATTAATGTTATTGATACAATGTATACTAATATATGACAAATTAATTGTTACTTGACATGGTTTGGTATTAGCTGTTCTAAATATCAAGCAATTCCAGCATGTAATTAAAGATGACCTGGAAAAAGTTGGTAATACAATGTACTCTGTAACTCAAATTATTCTAATTATTCTAATTTAAAATATTCTTTGTTGATTAAAACTAATACTGAATCATTTTAAACTAAATTGAATTTTCTTTGTTTAATGAGTACATAAACATCTATTTATAAATCGTTTACATGTCTCTATGTATAAACACAACTTAATACTGCCGTGTTGCCAAGTCCTGCTGTAGTTCTATATTTATATCTAAGTATAGTCTGCCCTGTCTATTCTAGTAAGATGTTAAATCACTTGACCTTTCATCATTTAGAAGGGTTTATTTACAAGTCAGAAATGCAATTAACTTCCTGTTAAACTAATAACAAAAGTTTAAAAGTCCTTAATTGCACACAGTCACCAGAATTTTTGTTCTTACTTAAAAATGAATTTCTTGGACTTCAGACCTCCTGACTAAGGTCCCATGCCCACTGTAAACCTTGTCAAATAGATCTCTGAGAAACAAAACATGCTTCTACCAAAAAATTACTTCTTTGCATGATATGAAAGTAGTAAAGACTTCTGCATTCAAATGAAACAAATAGCCTGGAGTACTTGAATAATAAGGCAAATAATTTTACTTTAAACAATATACATGTATTACTATGACCATGTTTAGTATTCATTTCTATCTAGTCTTATTTAAATTTGACACACACAGTAGGAGGAGTAAGAAGTCAATATAAAATTATTAAGTATTTGTCAGATAAATGTATTTATAATTAAATGTAACAGTTAGCTGAGACCAAAGTCTTCACTGTAATAATCTACAGGATTTCTGCAGTATTACTGCATACCAGGGGTTGTAACGATATACCAATATACTGCAATACACGAAAAATTGTACCATCTTGCAGTACTAAACCAGTATACATGTACTTGTGTATCATTTAACATTTTAAGCAATTAATACTATTTCTTTTAATACAACATAATAAAAGTGATTTTCTTATTTTAACTTATGCTGTTTTTATCGTGTTCATAGCTTATTTAATGTTACATAAAGTTTTGTGATCTGAAGAAATAATCTTCACCTCTTATCCTTTCACACTGTGACAGAGAATTTCTCATTTCAATTCAGAACAGACATGAGAGACACACAAATTATATAGAAAATTATGAAAGGTAAAATATCATGATACTTATCATGATACAGTCCATCTGTATCATGGAATACCATGATAAGCTTCAGCTGTATCATTACACCTCTACTATATACAGATATTTTTGCCCTATCACACTTCCACATATTTCGCCCTTTTTTGCATATGCCACAACACAGTTTTGTTAAAAGAGAGATAATTTGATCTCCGTTGAATTTGCCTACCATTGGTGAGGCTAAAATGAACAAATTAAATGGGGTGAAAATTTTCCTGTATACTGTATGTAATGTATCTTGATTCTGAAAAGTTATTGACACCATTTTACACTGTCAAATTGCTTTCTTATTTGTTTTGATAAATAGATCTTAAATGAGAGTACAAGTAATATCGGAGCTCTGCTTATTGGAAAACCCTTCCCTGTCCCAGAGAATGCATGCTGACAGTGTTACCTATATAAGTAACTATTAAAAATGGCTGGCAATTGAATGAAAGAAAGGCCTATAGGTCTTGAGGCTCACCTGAATGTCATAGTTTTCTCAACATTTACTTAACTTACTTACAGTAATCCTTAATGCTTGGATATATCAGACACATATTTTTGCAGATCAATTTGCCTCATGTCCTGATGAGGTCCAAATAGCTCTTTTTCTTTTAAACTGGACAAGACAAAAATAATCATTCTTTCATATTTTAAGGCACATTTTTTGCAATCATTCAAAAATGCATTAATATCAGATGAAGAAAATGATAATTGCTAATTTTGCAACCAATTACCACTGTTCTGACCTTAGTCACCCTACCAACACTCTCAGAAAAATCTTACTAGGTCCATTGGGCATTTAGTAGTTATATCTAGAAGGGCAGTTTGTTTTATTAACTTATTTTTTAAAGTTTGGGAGTGCCTAGTTATAAGCAAACTGTTCAATTATAACCTCCATAATTATTTAGTTTAAACTTCATAGTTCTAATTTTAATCCCAAAGATGTCAAATACACCTTAAATGTGAGAATTGTTTTAGCATTTGTTATCTGTGACATCTAAATGCCAGCATTACTGAATGATGACAAGTATACTCACTATCTTGAATGTGTCTCTGTTTTTCAATACACTCCAGAAACTTAAACCAGAACAGGTTTTGACTTCTATTTTCTAAAAACAATACTGTACCAGGAAATTTTTTGCCTCCATTTTATTTTTGCCCCTTTCTCTATTGTTTTTAATGAACTAATTCATATTGGGCAAATTCAAGTGAGACAGTTATCTCTCATTTAACTAAATTGTGTCTGGGTGAATTTATAACATATGACTAAATCATTTGCAAGTGTCTAGGGTAAAAATGACAAGGGGCAAAAATAGCAATGACAGCCTTGTTAACAATATTTTAAACCCTCTGTGGCTCTTTTTTGTCTTGTTTGTGTTTCATTGTTTTACATGGAAATTTGAAAATCTTTCACTCAATTAGAGAAATCATCAGCTTCAATTGAAGTGCCACAAATTTTGACCTATTCATAATGCTACAGGTGTATCAGTCAGGGTTCAATATTGGGCCAATGCCTGCCATGACACAGGACCACAATTTTTAAAGTCATAACCAATAGACTCAAAACTTTCACTTCTTATGTAAGGTGCTTAATAAGGAACTATCACTACCTATATTAATATCTTAAGTTTGATGCAAAACAGGGATCCAGATTCAAAATCCCTGCCTCCAGTCGTGAAGTAAGTGCCCTAACAGTAGGCTTCCACAATCTTTTTTTCCCTTTTCTTTTGTTTATATCATATGATCTATTGTCTTAGAGATGACATCACAAATTTTTTTTAACAGCACCGGGAGTTCTGACAAGAAGCCAACCATGTTAAAAGTCAACAGACAGACAGACACTTTGTTATTTGATTTAAAACAAGCTGAGCTTTCAGCTTATGATCTTTGACAAAAAATACCTATTTCATTTGGCTGGCAGTCCTTAAAACTGGATGGCGTGGAAGTCGTATGTCTCATTTAATTTACAGGTGTAATCGGTTGTCCTGTTAAGTAGAAAATGAAACATTATTTAGTATTTGCATCATATTACGTGACGGTTTACATGCATTCATTGAATTCTGGCTTTCTGCCAATGTTCATGTTTTGTTGTAAATCACACGTTTTGATATACATATCGGAAAGTAAACTTTTTGTAAAATATATTCCAGTGACAATGCATTTAAAGAGATGAGAGAACATGTCCTTTGTATTCTTTTAAATTGGAAACATGCGTACGTACAATATATTCCTGAAATAATACGGATATTCAAGTTATCTCGTACCCAGATTGGATTTCTAGTGTTCGGCCTCAAACCTATTCGGGCCATCCAGAGAATACGCGATACTTGTCAGTTTTTCTCCAAGAATAACATTTAGCTGACTTTTTTATCATATTAATCTGGTTCTATAACATATTTTGATATTTTACTTTTTATTTCTCTCTACATTAATATTTCGATTATTGAAAATCGTTGTACGATTGCTGAATTTTTCTCCAGGGGGAGCTACCATCCGACCAGAGAACCAGTCCAGCTGTCAGGATCGATTATTTTGTATTTGGATTATCTATGTCTTTCTTGGCTGGTATTTAAGCTATATCAGCACACACTATACATACGAAAGAATTAATATTTATTTGTAAGTAGTAACACAACTGGATCTTGGTCCACTGACTAGAGATTTTCATATATTACTTCGAATGTTGCTTTATATTGCACTAGAATTATCTCTGTTGTTCTTTGTTCTCTGATAATATCGATATATTAAGTCAACTCGTAACCTGAACGACTCGTAACCAAGTCCACTTTAACCAAATATGTCAACTCATAACCAAATGGCAAAAGTAAACTCGTAACCATGACTATGGTTATGAGCTGACTCGGAGTTTTGGTGGGTAAAACTCACTAAAAGACAAGTCATACCGTAGGCAAATTCTCAAATCCTAACATACACACATATGGTTAGGAGTTGACTTTAAGGTTTTTAGCTCACCTGAGCTGAAAGCTCAAGTGATCTTTTCTGATCACCCGTTGTCCGTCGTCCGTCCGTCTGTCCGTCCGTCTGTAAACTTTTCACATTTTCGACATCCTCTCAAGAACCAATGGGCCAATTTTAACCAAACTTGGTACAAAGCAACCTTGGGTGAAGGGGAGTTAAAGTTGTTAAAAAGAAGGGCCAAGTCCCGTTCAAAGGGGAGATAATCAAGAAAATACAAAAATTGGGTGGGGTCATTAAAAAATCTTCTTCTCAAGAACCACTGGGCCAGAAAAGCTGAAACTTATGTGGAAGCATGCTGAGGAAGTGTAGATTCTAAATTGTTCAAATCATGACCCCCGGGGGTAGGGCGGGGCCACAATAGGGAATCCAAGTTTTACATTGAAATATATAGGGAAAATCTTTAAAAATCTTCTTCTCAAGAACCACTGGGCCAGATAAGCTGAAACTTACTTGGAAGCATCCTGGGGTAGTGTAGATTCCAATTGTTCAAATCATGACCCCTGGGGATAGGGCGGGGCCACAATAAGTACTACGGGGGGGAGAAATCAGGTGAAAAACAGCAAGGCCAAAGTTACTCAGGTGAGCGCTGTGGCCCATGGGCCTCTTGTTAATTTTTTTGTGATGTGGATAAATATGGGTACCGTGTCCATTCACCCTATCTACATGTTCACATGAGTCCTTTTGCCTAAAGTTCGTTCGCCATAATTTTTGTTCTCCCTGTACCTCGTTCATCCTATATTTAGTAGTGATTTTTTAATTACCCTTGAAAGAATAAATTGACTTTTTTTAATGTTTATCGACGATGTAATTTGTTTAATTAAGAAATAAACAACAATGTTAAAAAGTTCACTGGGAAATGAACTTGGTTGGTCACGTGATCAAATCCTGTGAAGCCCAAAGCGCTTCTCAGTAGATTTGATCATGTACCAACCAAGTTCATTTCCCAGTGAACTTTTTAACATTGTTGTTTATTTCTTACATTTGAAAATAACTACATTTATTATAAGAACGGCCCACTGTATCACTGCAGTGACCTAGTTGTTTGGCCTTGAAAGTTCACCTAGCTCCAACATTTGAATATTTACATGGATGTTTAGCAATGTAGTTCAGGAAATCTCTGTTTATAGAACAGTGTTCGATACTAAGAATAGACTTACTATTTCATGCGTGCATTTTTTTTTAAATCAATACTTTATGTGCGAAAATAATGAATTTAATTTTATAGAATTAATTTTAAAAAAAATCATGAAATTCAATAAAATCAAAGTAAATATTACGAAAATTTAATGACTAACATATTCATCATATAAGAGGGCTAATGCACCTTGGGCAAAGAAGTGTTAGAGCAAACAGACTCTGGGCAAACAAAAAATAAGGTGAATGGCATCAAGGGCAAAAGTATATATGATTAGAGTATGTATGAAACATGTTTTAATCAATTTTCTTCAATGAAACAATTTTGTGCATAATTGAACTATGGAACGCCGGGACTGTCTTATATGAGGATTAAACATTATATGCAGTGTTCTCTTCATTATATGTGATACTATTTTAATTATATGAAGTAGTTTTTACAGTATATCGTGTGCAACTTCCATTATACACAGTACTTCTTTCATTATATGATGTAGATATGTCATTATAATATGTACATCTATCATTATATGAGGTGTTTTTATCATTATATGAAGTGCTTTTAACATTATATGCGGTAGATCTAACATTATATGCAGTGAACACACCAATATATTATGTACTTCTCACATTATATACAGTATATTCATCATTATATGTAGTATTTCTTTTATTATGATGATGCTGATCATTAAATATTATGTCCGGTCCCGTTAGCATTCCGTGCAGTAGATTTTGCATTTCGTTATGATGTAGACACAGTATTATATGCGGTGCTTTCTTCTTTATGTGTATGATCTTTCGGAAGCTACCTTTCGGAACCCCCCTTGTTAGATTTAGAAAGTTCTACCTTTTTTCGTTCTTAGATATGAAAATTCTTAATGATTTTGGGTAATCTTTAATAATTGGTAATCAACCACACGTCAGCCAAAGCGTCGCGGAATAATCACATACCACACAATATTTATCCCTATATTAAAGGAATTTCGAAGTCATATCAATACTTCAGTAGTTTACAACGAGAGAGAGAGAGAGAGAGAGAGAGAGAGAGATGCACTTATTACAATGTATTACTGAAATAATTTTATTGTTCCATAGTATTAATTGTTAAACTATGGCGTATAAAAAAATTGCTGAAGTTGTCTTTAGTTAAATACTATGTGAATGTTATGTAGTGTATCAGGAAAAGATAAACGATTTTCAGAACAGAAAATGTATTGAGTAGTGGGTTGTACTTCAAGATTTTACTTCTAAAAAAATATGTGGTAAAATTACCCAGTAATACAATATATATATATATATACATGTAAAGCCCCCTCTACCAAATAAAATGAGAGATAAAAGGGTAATTTACATTGTGAAAAATTAGCACATCCCACCCCTAAAAAACAAACAAATAAGTAAACACATGTAGTGTTTTCTATAAGCCGTTGTTAAAGCCCTGCGTACTCGAAGGCGTAGGAATGCAGTTAGTTTTTTCAGGGGCGTCAGCAAAGGGGCGGCGATCGCCGCCCCGATAATTTTGAAAAAAAAAAACACACACACACACTCACACACACACACCCACCAAAAAAAAAATGAAATGAAAGAAAAATAAATGAGAAAAACAAAATTACAACATTTGTAATGGCAATATCTGTGGTCAATGGAGCGGAGAAGTGTGAAAGCTATTGTTTACACAAACGCAAATTGGGATGTACGTGTACGTGTATAATTATATACCTGTACCTGGCATTTGTAAACAATAAGCATTGTATCCATCACTCTACGTGCAAGTTTGCTACAAATTCTTCACCAGGCCCACAGCTAGCAACGTTTTTGGAAATTCTATTTTTGGGGGGTGGGGACTCTCTAAATTGCCGGATTTTTTTTTCAATTCTTTTGGAATTTACCCGATTTCGACCTGACAGCAACAGAAAGTGTGTATGAAAGGAGGGGACAGCAGCGTCTAAGTTAATGAATTTCTACATATCCAAACTTAAGCCAAAAAAAAACCTATTCTCAGAAAAAGTGGAGAAATTGGTAAAAAAAAAAAAAAAATTAGAGCACCCCTTCCTGACACCTTCCCCTCGCGTATAACAGGCCTGTTCATTGTCTAATGAATTGGTCTATTGATGTTTGGAAATCTTTGATGAATCGAAGTTGTAAGCTATTAAAATTAAAGCAATATACTAAAATACTGGGTAACAAATACTATTTAAAACAACTTCAGATGATTTTTTTAATGTCATACACATTTCTGAATTTCAAAAATGGGGGGATTATGAAGGATTAATCACCCTGTTCATTTTAAATTTAATAACTATGCATTCTTTCGCGAGTAACAATAAATATTATACAATAATAGAAAATTATATGTTTTTTAATCTTTACCTCATAAACTTTTCAAAGTTCTTTCTATGCCGTTTCGGAAAAAAACACTAGCTCCTGGCTAATTAAAAATATTTTGGTTTTTTTTTGATCTATAGTGCATATAACTTAATTCACATAGAACATTTTCTTTTTGGTTGCATGTTTAATTGTTCTTTATTAATCAGAAAATAAGAATATCAAGATTTGGGCTGAAGTCTTATTTTAGTTGGTTAGGACCCCTCCCCCTTTTTGATCGCGTTCGCCTCCCCAATGTCAAATTCTTGCCGACGCCCCTGTTTTTTTTATTTTCTTTTTTGACATTGATTGTCCTATATATGATATGAATCTTTTTGAAAGTCTTATTGTTCACAAAAAAGATAAAAAATGCCTCAAATTTTTTTCCACTCCCAAAATATTTCTATCAACCCCCCCCCCCCTCTCTTTACTTCATACCATGAAATAGAATGGGTTTTATTTTACTCTATTACCCTATACTTCATATCTTTAAAAAACATTCTAACCTGTTCACGGAGCATTAATTGTTATATACGCATGCTTTTATTGTACTGAATTCAACAGGAAAGGTCGGAGTTCTCAAGGTACCGAATTTTTAACAGAGAGTTCCGAAAGGTAGCTTCCGAAAGATCATACACATAAAGAAGAAAGCACCGCATATAATACTGTGTCTACATCATAACGAAATGCAAAATCTACCGCACGGAATGCTAACGGGACCGGACATAATATTTAACGATCAGCATCATCATAATAAAAGAAATACTACATATAATGATGAATATACTGTATATAATGTGAGAAGTACATAATATATTGGTGTGTTCACTGCATATAATGTTAGATCTACTGCATATAATGTTAAAAGCACTTCATATAATGATAAAAACACCTCATATAATGATAGATGTACATATTATAATGACATATTTACATCATATAATGAAAGAAGTACTGTATATAATGGAAGTTGCACACGATATACTGTAAAAACTACTTCATATAATTAAAATAGTACCACATATAATGAAGAGAACACTGCATATAATGTTTAATCCTCATATAAGACAGTCCCGGCGTTCCATATTGAACAGTTGAAAGACAAACAATATTAATGATTTCTCTTTATTTTAATGATGGTGAACAATGAGAAATGACCATAACTCTGCTGTCATATGGGTTTTTAATTCATTGAGACAATAATTTGGAGTATATTGTAATTATCTCTTTATTTAATTTCATTTTGGCTACTATTGTCCCCCCCCCCCCAAAAAAAAAACCCACCATGTATATAGATAATTTTTCAATGACATTATCGCCATTAATCACACATTGTTTTGTTTTCAATTTTTCTCCCACTTATTATTTAGTTAAGAAATAAACAACAATGTTAAAAAGTTCTTTGGGAAATGAACTTGGTTGGTCTTGTGATCAAATCCTGTGAAGCCCAAAGGGCTTCTCAGAAGATTTAATCACGTACCAACCAAGTTCATTTCCCAGTTTTAACATTGTTGAAACTTGTTTATTAGTTTTATTTATATTTGAGACGAATATTCTGAAAAGAACTGCATTTATTACACGAAAGGCCCGCCGTATTGCTATGTTGTGACGCACAATGACCTAGAAGCTGTTTGATCTTGAGAGTTTACCTCACTCCAACATTTGAATACTTACATTGATGTTCAGCAGTACAGTTCAGGAAATATCTGTTCATAATGAAAAAACAATGATCGCTACTGGGAATAATCTTAGTATTATTGTATGAGTTCTTTATATACCGGTATGAAGTCAAAAGCGGTGCTATCGTCTTCAGTTTACATACCTTCAAAGGAATTTCGGGTTAAAAAGGTAAGCGTGATTTTAGGCTAATTAGAAACATTCTTCACACCGAAGAAAGATCTAATGATCATTTGTTGAACAGAAAAAAATATATGTCTCAATAATTTTATCTTTTTCATCGCTTTAACGGCTTAGAAGTTCCGAAACCAGTATCACTGTGAGTCTGTGACAGAAATATGTAGACAAGATATCGTCTCGCTGTGTGATTTGGTCATGCCATGACCTCTGACCCCCTAATAAGTTCAGAATTGAACATATTTTCTCTTCAATAGGTTCATCTAAGAAAAATATTTGCTAATGTAAATAACAGTTTATAAATTGATATCAATGTGCATACAAATATCATTTAGTTACAAGTTATCATTATTTAATATGAGGGAAGCAGCTTGTAACTAGAGTTTTGGTTACAAGTTTACTTTTGCCCTTTGTTTAAGAGTTGAAGTATTGGTTCGAGTCAGTCAAGTTAAGAGTTGACCAGAAACCGATTTATCAATGGTGTTTTCAGTTGATTGTTGGATAGCTTAGTTGGATATATAACTTGGTCCACCAATTATCACATTAAGTTTGAATTTATGGCATGAGGTTAGGGGATGCTGTAATTTAAAAGGTTAATTTGAATCCATTCTACATAGTGGTAGAGAAAACATGCATGATCATGACATGAAATAACATGAGATACTTGCCATGCTTACATTTCAATGCGAGCACTTTTCTCGTTCTTTCTAAGTCAAGGGAGGTGTTTCTTTTGAAATGTTTCTTTTTTCTACCTTCTGATATTGTTATTTATGTTGTCATATAATTTTTTTCACCAGTCAAATTAAAAACTAAAAAGTTCGCAGTCATGAAATTAGTGAATGAAATTAAAAGCACAGACCTATCTTTATCAGCAATTCTGATAGTTTATTCTAGTGTTGAAATATGTACCTGCAAACACAGCTGAGGTCATGATTTATAACTGATCTGTGTTATGTTTATGCCAGTGAAGTTCCAAAAAAGTAGAGTGTTGCAAAGTCACAACTTCATTTGTTTTTACTGAAAAATCATGACAATTGGTCACCTATTACATAGGGCTGTATCCATTACGCAAAGAACAATGTTGTTTTTTTTCTCTTTATAATTTGTTTATATGATAATGCAGGATTGTTGAGGACATAAGACATAGTTTTTGATAGTTGGACATTAAGTCATTACATTTCTGTTTCAAATTATCTGTAAGAAATAAAGAGTTTTGTTTTTGAACAATCAATTTCAGAATTCGGATACGAACAGAAACATTATTATTTTTTGCAGTCTGAACCATGTACAATGGGATCGGGTTACAGACTGCCAGAGGAAGCGGAACTAATGGTTACGTCCAGAGAAATCTGTCCTTTTTAAGGAAACACAAGGATCGAGTGGACTACAAGTCAGAAGAAGAACTGAAGAAGTTGGATGAACAGCTTATTAAACAACCTAACAAAGAAATCCTTGACCATGAACGAAAGCGCAAAGTGGAACTCAAGTGTATGGAGATGCAGGTTCTTATGGAGGAACAAGGGTGAGATATTAGTTTTCTAGAGTTTGTAACTTAGGCCAAGATAAATAAATTGTGTGTTTCCTATTCCAACCTGAGAAAAAATAGGGTAGGTAGGTAGGGAAAACATTTTATTTGAATATTTTATTGGCAAGCACGGTACCAATTTTCCCTGGGGAAATCGCTGTCATAACATTTCTGATTAATGTGTATAGGATGTATATTTTCTGAAACACAGAAGTGATCGAGATTAGGATTTCTAATAGTGAAACTTAAATAGTTTACTCCTGGAAAGATATCTGCGGATAAATTTTTTAGGGTCGGCTCATATATTTAAGGGTCAGCAGGGATCAACCTAGACCCAAAATTAAGGGAAACTTCACTTCTTCCTCAGAGAAATGTAGGGAGAAGTTTTGAATTCTAGGGAGACTTCTTGGCGCGCGTGGCGCACATTGATCATTATTAAACTTTTTAAAAATTAAAAACATTTCATTGTTTATTACTTAAATACATTTCAATAATTTTTTCTGTATTATTTAAACATCCTAGTAAAAATAATTAAAAAAGAAAAAAAAAAGATTCTTTAAAAAAAAACTTTATATTTTTCCAATTATAAGGTATATATAAATATCTAGCAAAATATATAAAACAATGACAATGTTAAAGTTTCTATAATTGATAAATCTGTTTATTAAACTTTTTTTTCATTTCTTGCATAGTATGCACAATTTAAACTTTTAAATGATTCACACGTTTTTCTCTCCTCTCAGGGTTAGATTTTCAGGTTCTTGGCATAGTCATAATTTTGTTATTTTCTCTTCAAAATTCGTTTTCAATATTAAATTCTTTTTTCTAAAAAAAGTTTTGATGCACTACTGCATGCCGATTGAAATACTTATGTTTATCAGACGTGTAATTTCTTAGACAGTTAATAACTCCACAATTTAACAGTAAAAATATGTCTGTATTCACAGCATGTATTAATTATTTGACAATAAAAAGATCTAAAATCATCTCCAACATCTTTGGCATGACTTCGATAGCTGTCCAGCTGTTTTGCGTCTTGTTGTGTACAACTTGTAACAATGGACTTTTTCATACATGGAAGCGTAAAATCTAGAGGAGTTCCGACAGAGTATCCGATGCATTGGTCATTAGTAGCAAAACAGGTGCAAGTGCCCTGCTGTTTCACTTATTTCAGCAGTAATAAAATCAGATTTATAAAATAGTGACATTACTACCATGTTTCTTAATAGATTTTTTATGATTTTCAATAAAGGGGTTGCAAATGTTAAGGCGACTTAAACTTCTCTTTCGTGATAATTATGGCGAAATTTGGAGCTCAAAAGCGACTATTTTACCTCAGTCACCCCCTAGGTTGGTCCTTGGTCAGTCGGGGAACCGGAAATACACAATTAATTTATCTAGGCCTTATTGATTTCTTATGATCATGACCCTTTACCTTGAGATTTGTGTAAAATGTATGTATTCCCATTGAGGATTAACATTGTATAAATACTTTTTCTTACTTAATAAAAATTGGTAAAACAGGACGGGGATGGTGTCAGTTACATTCAAAAGTATTTAATTTAATTACAATAACTTTGTCTTTTTCTTCAATTAAATTTATTTAATAGTTTTTAAGACATGTTATTAATAAAATTACAATTACTTTGCAATTGATAATATAAATGAAATGTTTTACTCACCTCTTAAGTCATGTCTTTAATCTTGAGTCTATTTACTTTGTCTGTCCATCTGTAAACTTTTCACATTTTTATCTTCTTCTCAAGAACCACTGGGCCAGTTTCAACCAAACTTGTCACAAAACATCCTTGGGTAAAGGGGATTTAAGTTTGTTCAAATGAAGGACCATGCCCTCTCTCAAATCAAAGTTTTACATAGGAATCATTGATTTTTCTACACTTTTTAAAAGGGGCCTGGGCCTTTACAATTGGGAAAAATTATCGACATTTGTGTCAAATTGGGAAAAATTAATATGATTGAAATTAACCTTAATTGACAGGTAAAATAAAATATATAAATAAATTTAACATCTTTTACTCAAAATATTTACTACAAAATAACAAATTAGACACAGTTCTACATTTTTAACTTTTTTTCTTAATCTTTGAAAGTTTTCATTAATTGAGACTGTCCTATAATTCCATTCTTTCTTCTTCTTTTTTTTTGCCATAATGGTAGACATAAGAGAAAATCCTACTCATAATAGCCATTGAAGGTGATATAACTGACATGATTTATAACAAATCCTTTTTTTCTAACTAGTTATTAAAGCTTTTTAAATTACCCTTATCATATTGCTGCAATTACCCTGCAATATTAGTTGCATCTTCCGGGTGTTACAGAAACAGTTGGAATCAGGCTTATTGTAGAACTACTAGTACTTTGATTAACAAATAAAGCTATGTTTCGCCGGTTCACATGCATCTTACACTTTCTTACAATGCATTTAGTTTGACATGGTCCATGTGTTTTTCTATGTCTCGTAAATGCACAAAATAATCAGCTGTTCTTCACTATTATCGACCAAGAACAATAGTGTTCCATTTTAGATAAGTCCTACATAAAAAAATTCAATATAACAAAAACAAGAACGGTTTTATTTTGGGAAAAAAGCAAATGAAATTGGGAGAAAATCGGTAATTTTTGATAGGGGAAAGGGCCGATATTCGGACCTAAAATGGGTGTAGAAAAATCACTGATAGGAATATGTAGGAAAAAATCTTTAAAAATTTTCTTACTGAGAACAACAAAGCCTTCATTGATCATATTAATATAGAGGCATCCTCAGGTAGTGTAGAATTAAATTTATTCAAATCATGACCCCGGGGGGGGGGGGGGGGGGGGTAAGGTGGGGCCACAATGGGGGATCAAAGTTTTACATAGGAATACAGGAAAAATCTTTAAAAATCTTCTTCTCAAGAACAGTAAAGCCATGATTAATCATATTTTTATGGAAGCATCATTAGATAGTGTAGAAGCAATTTTATTCAAATCATGACCCCTGCTGGTAGGGTGTGGCCACAATAGGGGATCAAAGTTATACAAATGAATATAAGGGATATATCAATAAAAAATTTCTTCTAAAGAACAGCAAAGCCATGATTAGTCATATTAATTCAGAAGCATCCTCATAGTGTAGATTCAAGTATGTTCAAATCATGTCCATGGGGGTAGGGCAATAGAAGATCAAATGTTGGGATCACTTTTATATTTCAACTTATCAATACTGAACTGATTTCTGCTTTTTAACAGCCAAAGTGCTCAGGTAAGTGATGTGGCCCATGGGCCTCTTGTTTGGTTGCTGTATTTTTATCAGGTCAGGCAAACAGCACAAATATTTTTTTATTTGCTAGATCCAGGGCTTTCAAAATCTGCCAGTACCCAGTGCTTTTACCCAGCTGAAATCAAAATTGTTCTGGCCAAAAAATATTCAATTAAGAAAATTTGATAAAAATTCTGACTAAATTGCTTTGGCCACATATCTATTTCAAATCTTTTTGAAAATCCTGTAGATCTAAGTTTAAAAAATTCAAATTGTGCTTAATATGGATTTTTTTTTGCATGATCTGATTTACTTTGAACACAAAAAAGAACACACTTTAACATGGTGAAAGCAATCATTCCAAACTGATCAGGATTTAAGTTTGATTATTTTGTTATTTTAGATATTCAGCAGATGAGATTGAGAAGAAGGTGACAATGTTCAGAACAATGCTTGTTCAAAAAGAGGGTGTGTCAGAAGCCACAGTGGAAAAAGACTCCTCTGGACGCCCAGTGTAAGTAACAAGTAGCCTCTCGTCATCCAGAGGAAGTCACAAGAATACTTTTAGTTTCCAGATTATTTTATGCTTGCTGCTGTTTTTTGATAAATGTCCTCTTTGAGGTTATTTTTGTTATGTAGCACATCTTTAGCAAGAAAAGGTTACTGGACAGTAGAACCCAGTTGTAATTTAAAACCCAATATGCTCTGGTTTCTAGAACAATCACCAGCAATTTTTTTTATCTTTTTGTATAGGAGGCTGATGTAGTCTGATCAGCCAGGAAAAAAACTTTTCCTCTTACATAGAACAAGTTTGTTCAAATCAAAATCTGGAATTGAACAACACTTTGGAGGAAATTTTGTCATTACTCTAATGACCAGGGGGAGGTATCTAAAGAGATCAAAACACATGGTAATATAGTCTGGAAAGAAAATTTGAGAATCTTTATTTTCAAGAACCAGAGAGTTATAACTTATTCCATTTTTATGCTAGTGTGGCAGTGTATAGTTGAATTCAAGTTTAAAGCATGCATAAACGAAAGCCTCAAGTGAGCCTTTCAGAGGCAGTGTCTGGTCTCCATATGTGTGTCTGTCTGTCTGTTGTGAGATGTCTGTAAACTTTTCATGTTCGAACCACTGGACCAATTTCAACCAAAATTGTTGCAAAAGGGATAATTTATGATGATTTATTGCTCATTAAATGCCTCTTAGTTTTACAAGAGACGTGGTATTAAAAAAATTACATCTATGACCACTGATTTTGGGCAAATACAGTAAAATATGGTTACACTGAACACACTTATAATGAATTTACACTTAAACCAAGTGATTTTCATTTCCTGTAGATTTAAAACATATTATGAACTTAAGGTCATCTTCGCTAGCCAAGGGTTTCTGATACGCTACTCTCCTCATAAACCCTTGGCATATGGTGCTGACAAAAGACGGGATTGTTTTTGTCACGTGATCATGATTCTTACCAGGTACGCACAGATTGTGTCATCGACAGAAATAAAAAGCGTATTTTAAAAAATTTTGTTTTTAAAGAATAATTAACAAAAAGGTATCGAGTTATGTTAATTTGTTATTTAAACATGTAAAAATGCAAATCTACATCTTCAGTATAGATTCTTAATCACATATTTTGCACGTAGCTTTAGATATTGGTTGACACCATATAGCTATTCATAGAATGGCATGTTATCTTACGGATCATTGTTTACTTGCATTTTACATTACCAATATTAAAGAGTCAAGATATATCCTGAACGCAAATATCGTCATTTACAAAAAACAATTGCTGATTGGTCGAACGATGTCGATCAACTCCAATCACAACTTGAGAAAAAAATCCCAACTCTTTTTAACACCGTATGCCAAGGGCTTATGAGGAGAGTAGCGTATCAGAAACCCTTGGCTAGCGAAGATGACTTAAGGTATATAATGAATTACATATATTATAAATTAAAATTGTTTGTCCCTAGCACTGTGTTATAAGCATGTTTTACTGTATCATCTTTTTTTGATAAATCTTTATTCTTTTATTGCTAAATATGTGAAAAAAGGAACAGGCTGCTATTTTTAAATTAATATTACAAACAAACATTATCATGTAAAAAATTGGTTCACTGGTTATTTTTTTTTAATGTTACTTAAAATTAAGTTTTGCATATATATATATATATATATATATATATATATATATATATATATATATATATATATATATATATATATGTATGTGTAAGACTCCAAAGTGCAATGGTCATGCCAAAGTGCAATGGTCATGCCAAAGTCCAATGGTCTAGCCAAAGTCTGATGGTTTGCGCCAAACCCCGATGGTTTGATGTTGGTACGGACACCAAAGTCCGATGGTCACTTCAAAGTCCGATGGCTCGTTTCCTATGAGACGCACTATACTAAAGTGCGATGGTCTGATACGCCAAAGTCCGATGGTGCCTAGAAACAATCAACGTTCATGACGTCACAATATTTGGACGTCAATCCTTGACACCGTTGTTCTGCATTCAAAAGCCCATCAATTCGGTATTCGTCCTCGCATACAATTTAACTGATTTTGCTTATTGATTGCACTCACCAGAGATATTAGGGTTAGTCCTCGCATACCACTCGTTTGATCAGGGTTAGTCCTTGCACACTATAGGACCAATTATGGGATAGCTTCGCACCAATCCGAGAGATTTAGGGTTAGTCTTGCACCCATACCCAAGATATCTAGGTTAAAGTTCTTACACACTTTTTGACCGATTAGGGTTAGTCTTGCATCTCTCCGAGAGATTAGGGTTAGTCCTCGCATATAATATTTATTTGTATTTATTTAAGATCTTGGCATGGTGCGGCATCGCAATAAGGTGCAGTAGTACTATGATGTCAGAAATGTTAATTGTTTTCGGCACCATCGGACTTTGGCGTGTCAAGCCATTGGGGTGTGGCGCAGACCAATCGGACTTTGGAGTCCCATCGCACTTTGGAGTCCTACAGTCATATATATATATATATATATATATATATATATATATATATATATATATATATATATATATATATATAACTTCCCACAGCATGCCTTTGCATGATTGATTTATCTAAAAAATTCCGCCATCATTGAATTCTAATGTTAGCTTTAATCAACATTTGTAATTCTGTAAAAATTAAATTTTATACAAGATTCAAATTTAGCAATATATTCTTAAAAATCAGTAATATATTTTTATTGAGAGATAATTTTAACAATTTTATAATGTCTGGAATACAATTGCAAGCCTCTGGTGCCAAATTGATTGTTAGCGATATTCAATTTAAGAATCCTCAACACTCCAGATAATGATTCCAAAATTGAATCCTCACAAAAAATTCTGCAGTATTTATAAAATAACATACTTTTAACATCTAAACTTGAAATTGGTACAAATGTATTTTAGTACAAACAATATTCATGTGTAATTTTTGATAGTCAAAATAAAGAAGAAGGTACAGTTTTGGCTTTATTGTGCCCTAAAAATTGAATGTTTTCAAAAAGTTTTGAAATTGGCATAAATATGAGTTGAGTACATCAGTATGATAATTCATGAAAGAATACGGCATGAAGGAGAACCCTTCTGGAAGTATGACGTCATTAATTTCATATTTTTTTAAGTTTTAAGCAGAAAAAGTCTCAAAATGACTCATTTTAGGGGGTATTTTCCTTGAGAAAATAGTGTCCACAGCCGTCGCCCACTTTAATATTCGGATATGTTGTGTAAAATTCTATGAAAATATCACACTTCTTAAAATCTTTCTGGGCGATGCATGTGGTCTATATTATCTGAAAGAAAATTTCTTTGAAAATTGATGTCTTATGCAACTTTTTAAGAGAATATGGGAAAATGCACAAGATTATGACGTCACAGTTAGCATTTAGGAAGTCAAATGAGAAAAACAATTTGTTTGATCTTAGTGCATAGAGTTTCAACATTTCAGAAAGCATGAATTTTAATTTCTTTCATCGCTTTCATATTTTACAAAAATACAGGGCCAGATTTGTATTGAAACTGTACCTTGTTCTTCATTAACACCCATATTCATTTTGACTGAACATCTAAATCTATACATGGAGTTAACTTTCACGGTTTGCTCTGGGGATTTTTTCCCCCTCCTTTAATATGCTGGCAATGCATGATCTTAGACCAGTAATTTTATAGGCCTTGATCCATAAATATTTTGCAAAAAACTGTTCTGTTGGCAGGTCCAAGCATAACATTTCTTCTGATGAAAACTATAAAACAAGGATCTACAATAGCGGTATATTTTTCTTTGCGTTCTTCAGTAGAAGTAATTTATGTGTCGGGGAATTGTAAGGGTGTTTAAGACGGGAAGCCGAGATCATAAACACAACAAACTTAAGTAGCGTAAAAAGACTCGTGTTATTGAATATTGGGAATCTTGGCAAGCCATAATTATTAGACCCCTTATGGTACATCATGCAGAAATAAATTTGATAGTTAGTATTTCTAGAAATATTGGCACTTTTTAGGACAATAATATGGATGATGGTGCTAAATTGCTGGTGGCATTTCTAAGATTTAAGTGGGTGAATGGAAATCAACTATTAGCTCTCTTAGTTTCTTATGAAAATTTTATTGTGCAGTGAATTTCTGCATATATTAAATAAGCTTGAAATGTAGGGGGGGGGGGGGGGGCAATAAAAAGTTCTAAGACTTTTTGTGTAATATTAAAAACTGTAAGAGGGGTGTTTTTGCATTGACTTAGGCCATTGAAAATAAGTTCTTTATTTTACATTGTTTAAAAATCTATGAAGTATGAAGGAAGGTATTTTACATTGTTTAAAACCTATGAAGTATAAAGGAAGGAGGGAAAAGGCCTCAAATTGATAATTTCAAATAAATGAAATAAATTTATTTAAAACTTACCCATCTGGTGCAACTAAAAGTTGCAAAATTTTAAAATGTGGTTCTTCCCCCTCCCCTCCCCAGGCCTGAGGAATGGGGCAAAAACCATCGAAATTAATGTCACCTTGTAATCAGGCAGTCAAACTGTTGTCTTGGTTGTAATAAGCATTAAGCCCTCTATCAAAAATTTGAAATTCATTGCCACAAGGTGATGGGTTCTGGTGTAAGGAGGGGCTCTATTGAACATATAAAGAAAATGATTAAATTCTTTAACCCTCTGGCTGCGGGAAGGACATATATGTCCTTTTACCGCTCGCTGCGGCAGGGACATATATGTCCCTGACGACGTCATAAATTTTGAGGCGTCATTTCCCTCGAACTTTATTGAAATATATAATATAAAAACTATTTTTTGACTGCATTTTTTTGTTGAATTAAAAGATTTAAGAATTTTAAAGCTCCTGCCTTTTAAAACAAATTAAACGCTACAAATGTATTGTATAATTATTCATGTATTTGTTCATGCATGTGATTAAATCTAAAATACGCAAATGAAATTCTTTCTCACATGTGCATTTCAATTTAACATATACCTCTAAAGCTTAAA